GTGGGGCTTCTCCCCTTAAAAAGGGGCCACCGCGGGGCTGTGCCCCTCAATAAAGTGGCTCCCACCCACGGGGCTCCGCCCCCCAAATATGGGGCTCTCACAGGGCTTTGCTCCCCAAATAGGGGACCCCAGATTTTATTATGGGTCCCAGAAAAAAAAGTGTGCGGGAAATTTTTTTTCCCGTATAGTGTGAGCAAAGTAGTTACTTTGTGCACACTTTTGGGAAAGGGCTTCTTTGCGCACGCAAAAGTGTGCGCAAAGTAGTTACTTTGCGCACACTCGTAGAAAAAATAACTTCCTTAGATGTAGTCTCGTTATATACTAATATACCTAACGATTTACTTTTTAACGTTATTCATGATAAATGGAATGACATCAAAGAACACATACCAAACTCCCTGAAAAATCTTTTATTGAAGCATTAAACCTAACCCAAAAATGCAATTATTTTCAATTCCAAGATAAGTTTTACGAACAACTAGATGGTTGTGCTATGGGTTCTCCAATTTCCTCAACTGTTGCCAACTTGTAATGGAGTTTTTAGAGAAAAATGTATTATCTTCATCAAATATAGATGCAATATTTTTTAAACAGTATGTGGACGACTGCCTGACTGCTATTCCAAGCAACAAAATAAATGAATTTTTATCAGCCTTTAACAATTTTCACCCAAAACTTAATTTCACCACCGAAATAGAGACGAATAATGAAATTAACTTATTATTATTATTATTATTATTATTATTATTATTATTATAAGTTACAACCGAGGTTACAACAGTAAACGGTTATGACCGATGAAACTGTTGTCATAATTTCCGTGGTTCCTTTTTATCTTTTCAAAATATTCAGCTTGTTCATTTACAGTCCGAAGTGAATGTTCACACTAGTCAGCACTTCCCGTTGATTATCTAGTCTGTTTTTGAATGAGTTAATACTTGGAGCGCTCACAGTGTTTTCCGATAATGCATTCCAATGATAGACAATTCTATTTGTCAAAAAGTTTTTACGGGGTAGTTTTGCGTTCTTCTCTTTTTCCAGTTTTTTGCTGTGTCCTCGAAGGTGTATGTTTGCATTCGCATGGAAGATATTAAGAGTAGCATTATAATATGGTTTTAAAATTTTGTAGGTCTCAATAAGATCTCCTCTTAAACGCCTTTCTCGTAGAGTTGTCTATTTAAGTCTTTGTAGTCTTGTAGTATAGTCTAACTGTGATAATTCTGGTGGTATTCTTGTTACACGTCTTTGAACTTTTTCTAATAGCTCGATGTCCTTTACAAAGTAAGGGTTCCATATTGTTTCGCCATATTCTAGTTTTGGCCTAATATAAGTTTTATATAGTTTCAATATGGTGTCCATTGAGTGGTCTGAAAATGCTTTTTGGATGCAATAAATGAACGAGTTTGCTTTTTTCACTATCCTATGAATGTGTGGTTCCCATTTGAGGTCTGCGCTGATGATGACGCCTAAATCACTGTTGATCGACGTTATTTAGATTGGTACCATTTAGTGAATAGGGTATAATTGTGTTGTTTATTCCAATACTGAGTACTGTGCACTTCTCTTCGTTTAGTTTCATGCTCCAGGTTTTTGCCCATTGCTCTATTCTATGAAGATCTTCTTGCAGCTCTTTAGACTTAGTTCTGGAGTTTGCAAACAGCTTGGCGTCATCGGCAAAAAATATTATACGTGTTTTTATTTCCATTGCTAAGTCGCTGATATAAACTGAAAAGAGCAGAGGACCAAGCACTGTACCTTGAGCTATCCCGCTGAGAGCCACATGTACGTCAGAGAGTACTCCATTTATTCTTGTTTGAAAAGTTCTTTTTTTCAAAAAGAAGGAAAGACAACCAAATAGATTACCACCAATACCATAGTGGTCTATCTTATGAAGCATTTTATTGAATGGTACTTTGTCAAATGCTTTCTCAAAATCTAAGTAGACGATGTCGGTTTGTTCATTCTTATCAAAGCTTTGTGTCCAGGTGTTCAAACAAGTTGTGAGGTTGGTAATGGTTGACTTTTTTGGAAGAAATCCATGTTGGTGATCTGTGATGGCCCCATTTTCAAGGAGGAATGGTGTTAATTCTTTTGTGATGACCTTCTCAAAACATTTGCAAATATTGGAAGTTAAACTTATTGGTCTATAGTTGGAAGGTAGTTGTTTATCGCCCTTTTTGTAAAGTGGGGTTACAATAGCATGTGTCCATATGTCTGGTAGATAAACTTCCTAGATCTTACTATTATTCGGGATGCAAACACCAATGTACTCAAAACTAAATGGTACACAAAACCGACATCATCTAGCCGCTATCTAAATTATAACTCTCAACATCCCAAGGCACAAATAAAAAGTGTTATGATTGGAATACAGGGAAATATTAACTAAAATCCTAACAGTCAATAAAATTATAAAACAGAGAACATTCCTTTTATACAATAAATAGGCCAAGCAATGAAGGAAGTTTACCTCAACATAATTAGAAGTTAACATTTTTTGGGGGGGATCGGTTCATTTTCATGTGCTTAATAACATATCAAGTTTGCGACCTTGTACTTCCATAGGGTTTTTAGTTAGGGGTGGTTTTTAGGGGTAATTTGCGGTTTATGGAGAACGCTGCTCAAAGGGATGGGCCAATAGCAAAAAGTTTCAAATGAATGTTGTAGCTGAAGTTTTTTGCTATAAAAAACTCAGCGACAGCACCCTTCTATCTTCTATAGTTTTTTTTCTGCAGCGTCTTGAATACTAGCATGTTTTTATTCAAGGTCACTGAATCAACGTTTTACCTGTTTGCGCGCGTTTGATGCAGCAACTGCTAAATGCATAATCCGATTTCAATTTTTCAAACACCTCATTATTGCTAATGAAATGCACTTTCCAATGCTTTTTTGTTCGAATTTTTTGCTTGAAAATTAAGCGAGCACCGTAAATTGCATCGAAAACTACCCCTTTCTTTCATTCACTGTAATTTCTAAACGGGGCGAAATATTAGGTGACAGTTTTCGACAATCGGCAGCCCATTTATTCCTCTCATATTGCCCCAGCGGATTTTTTGTTTCGTTAATTACTCAATGACGTATTGGCCTGAACACGTCGCGCGGAATTTTTCAAAAAGTTGAAAAAAATTAAAATCGTCGTACGGCGCTGAAATTTGGTACGATGGCTCTTTTTATTGTTTTTATGAATATACTGAAATTTTAATTGCTTCACATGACTGCTGCAACCATTAAAATTGCAGTATATTCATGAGAACAATAAATAATGCCATCGTACCAAATTTCAGCGCTGTGCGACAATTTTAATTTTTTTCGACTTTTTGAAAAATTCCGCGCGACGTGTTCAGGCCAATACGTCATTGAGTAATTAACGAAACAAAAAATCCGCTGGGGCAATATGAGAGGAATAAATGGGCTGCCGATTGTCGAAAACTGTCACCTAATATTTCGCCCCGTTTAGAAATTACAGTGAATGGAAGAAAGGGGTAGTTTTCGATGCAATTTACAACTTCCTCGCAAATTAGCCAAGTTCGTACTCGCTTAATTTTCAAGCAAAAAATTCGAACAAAAAAGCATTGGAGAGTACATTTCATTAGCAATAATGTGGTGCTTAAAAAATTGAAATCGGATTAGGCATTTAGCAGTTGCTGCATCAAACGCGCGCAAACAGGTAAAACGTTGATTCAGTGACCTTGAATAAAAACATGCTAGTATTCAAGACGCTGCAGAAAAAAAACTATAGAAGATAGAAGGGTGCTGTCGCTGAGTTTTTTATAGCAAAAAACTTCAGCTACAACATTCATTTGAAACTTTTTGCTATTGGACCATCCCTTTGTGCAGCGTTCTCCATAAACCGCAAATTACCCCTAAAAACCACCCCTAACTAAAAACCCTATGGAAATACAAGGTCGCAAACTTAATATGTTATTAAGCACATGAAAATTAACCGATCCCCCCAAAAAATGTTAACTTCTAATTATGTTGAGGTAAACCCTCTTTTAAGATCCCCGTTTCTTGGACTAAAATCCCATAAACCATATTCAAATCCAAATAATAAATCAAAAAACACAACTTCTTATGTAGCACTCCCATACGTACATGTACTTTCTGAAAAGCTGAGTCATATTCTAAAAAAAAATCACGACATAACTGTCTGCCATAAATCTTTCAATACCCTATCAAAACTATATACCCCCTTAAAAAGCAAGGTTCCAAAAAACAAAAACTCTAATGTGATTTACGAAATCCCTTGTTTAAATTGCAATCAAAAGTACATAGGAATGACAACACAGCATCTCGAAAATCGAATTAAAGGCCACAAATACACTAAAAATGCCTTGCACAGAGCTTCATAAACATGAAAAAAAAACGAAAACCACAATTTTGATTTCAAAAACTCAAAAATTCTCGATAGGGATTCTAATTATAATAAACTGACTGTGAAAGAGATGATTGCTATTAAAAAAAAAAACCAATGCTGTTAATGATGAACAAGATATACAATATTTGAGCCGTATATATCATAACTTGATTTATACGTAGAATTACACTACTATGACTTCATGTTTGGTGCTTGAACGGAAAGCACAAGATAAAGAAATTAAAAAAAATATATACCAAAAAATTAAAATTCATTTGCATTCCTTTCTATCAAATAAGTTCGAGGTATGTACTATTTTTAATATATTTTGAAAATTTTTGTTTTAATTAAAATGTGTTTTCCGTAGGTAGGTAATAGTTGTAATAACAACCTTTTGATAAAGCCAAAATAAAATAATGGCGAAACGTCAAACTAACTAGAAAAAAAGCCTTTTTGTTCTATACCAATAAACCTATACCCAAGAAAAAAAAAAACTATAATTAGTAAGAAGGTTTAAGAATTCACAACATAATAAATGAAATTCGCTAGCTCCTATTTTTAGCCTAGTAGTTATAAACGTTTTTGAAACATCACAAGAAGGTCAGTGATCTTGGTTTTAAATGCATAATTTCTTCGTTTCAAGTTAAGCCGCCATGGCGTATTCCCGCCCCAGGGACTTGGACGGGTTCGCGGTGCACCTTAGAAAGCCGGACACCCGCTTCAAGCTGCAGCTGGGACAAGATTTGGTCAGTTTTTTGGCGGAACCGGCCAATCCAATCACATGCCAGGACATTGGACAGTTTGTCGACGGGCTAGTGCCGTGGATGCAAAGTAGTAATTTCAAGGTAAGGAATTGTTAGTATATGACGTAAAAGTTGGAATTGACATCAATGCGCCAAATAAAAATCAGAAACAAATACATAGGTATACTTACTTAATACTCAATTTATAAGCAGAGAAACCGGTAATATCAATTTTAATGTATTTCTAAGTTTAGTACATGATTAAGTTGGCTTGGCTACTGTTGCATATATTTCCTAGATTCTAGAGAAGCTGAAAACTAGAACTTCAGAAATTTGTCTTGAAGCTCATTTCTTTAGGACCAAAATTGCAAATAGGAAATTTTGGTTTTCTAGCTATTACTTATAGAAATTATAGACCTATTTTGTAATGACAATCCTTCTCAATTATAGACTAAAACTAATTGTCTAAGGTGAACAATTATTGTTATTGTCCATTAAACTTGATTACAACTAATTCAATAATTGTGAATTGTTTTTTAAAAGGTCACAAGTCAATACAATATTTTCAATTTTAGTACTTAATTCTTCAACTAAATTTAAAGTATTCTTAATGAGGACCAGCTGGGATGCATACTTTCAAAAAAGCGTGTGTTATTTTTTTAATGGATTAAATATTTAGCTACAAATTATGCAAATAAACAACTACAATTCCATAATATGAATGCAGGAAATTTTCAATTCCCCACTGTCTCTCAGTTGGATGCAAATAGATTTAGGTATTTTTAGTCACCTGTGTGTGACAATTTGTGGTCTGTGCTCCTTTAATATGGTTTAATATTCGTGAAAGTTGCCTGTGAATTTTTAGGATTGTTCAACATTCGTGTCAGGTAATCGTTTTGGCTGAAACTTTTTGCCATAAGTATCGACACTTATTAGACGTTATTAAGATTGTATCTACCTCTATTTCTGTACTGAAGATTCCATCAAAATATGTTAGTTATTTAAAGATGCTATTAAATAAAATATCTTATTTCGTATAATGTAGTTAGTGGTAATAAAAGTGCATATTTATGTGTAAAGGGTATTTGACATCGAAACGACTTTTATAATACCGGCCCTGGTGGGTAGGTGACTGTAATAATATCAAGAAAACACCAATGATTGCCCACTCGATATTGTTGTTTTTAGGATGCAAAATTTTCAATTTGCAATTTATTTGTGTATTTAGATCCCACACACTGAATCTCCGTTCTATTTAATCTCATTAAAGTGGGGTCTGTAATGACGTTAGAAGGTTTGTTATATGAAAGTTTGGTCGATAAATGATTATCACTGCTTGGGTGTTTTTGCTACCTTTGTGTTGATTTTGTAATTTGGCTTAAAATATGGATTCAATTGAAGAGTTCTTATATATGCTGAGAAGCAAAATATGTAAATAGTTAATTTCTCTTTCAATTCTTTTGTTGTACAGAAACAAATATTTCTCATTACTGAGATCATTAGCATTCAAATTGTGGCTAAAATTTAACTTTGATGCTCAATTGCTGAGAAAATATTTAAACTTTCAGAACCAATTTAGCACAGTTTTATAGAAAATTCAAGGCTCTTTCGGATGATATATAATTTATTACAATTTCTTCAAATTTCAATTGAGATATTGTTGATGTTTGAGATGTTTTGAAGGTGATTTCTCCAATGTTTTCCTTGTACTGCCTATATTTTTTTTTATCAATCAGTACTTACTCTTCCGTTAAACTGATCTGAAAGCAAGCAGCACTATGACTTTTTAATGATTGAAGAATTTTCACCAACAACGTTGAAGTTTATACAACTTGTTTCCAAAGTATCACAGAGGTGAGACCTTACCAATACCCATTTTTTTTTATCTTTATCGTGAGTCGTTTTTTCTTATTGTCAATTTATTTCAAAATTGAGTTTGCCTGTTTCTATTAAAACAGGCTGGTCCTAAACATTTAATCCTTCGACCTTAGATGGAAAGTCCTTGGGGTTATACAGTGCATATTAAAATTATAAAGAATGACTTATTTTTGGTTTCTGGCTGCAACAATCACCGGCTTGAGTGTAAAGTTCAAGTAAATTCCAACACTTTTTTGATGTTTTGGAACTTGTTCGGTATAAAATTTAAAGAACTTATTAGTACTATACGGGTTTCTTGTTTTTTGCTGGATAGGTGTAGTGTAGATTTTAACTATTTTCATCGTTTGTTCAGATATTCAAATAAATGCAAAAATAGAGAATAATATAAAATTATTTGTTTTTGTTCAAATTTCGAATTTCTTTTGGGTCAAAATAATATTTGGATTATTATTTATTACCTAATTACATTGCCTGAATAAGTGATATTGTTTTTTCAATTTTCAAAATTCATATTGTGGTGAATCGTGCAACAGATAATTAGTTGTTATGTACCTTGAAGCATGAAGGCATAATTTGGTGGATGCCTTAATTAACACTATTGGATCTTTTAATTTTTTTTTGCATTTGAGTTTTTTCATTTAGCTAACATTGCCAATAATTAGCCGCGTTTTAAAAAAGGCTCATGCTTTATTGGCGAATTTGTATTTTTTTTTTGAATTTTGAAAGTTTATTCGTCATTGACGGACTCCAGAGAAAGCGAAAATCTGTTATGAAAATTCTAGAGAGATTGGGTGCTATGGGTCAAAAGGCATTAGGCAACAAAAGTAAATATTTGGCAGATTTTTGGTAGGACTTTTTCGCGTAATAACATTAACTTGTTGAGCGACCACCTTTTCCAACACCTTGGACACTGAAATGACCTAGTTCAGTGGGATTCTTGTTTTTGGGAATAGGGATAACATTCGCTTCCATGCCTCCGGAAAAGTGCCTGTAGTAAGGCAAGTATTAACAATGTGAGTTAGTTACTTGGTTAAGTAAGGAAATAGACACATGAGCATTTTTAAGTTATGATTATCAACACCCTTTGCATTACTTTTTATAGAACTAATAATTTTTAAAATTTCTTCAGGTGTTACCAAATTAAACATAAATTCATTGTTGCGGGGTCCTTTATTATTTTTATAACGATCCAAAATATAGGACTTTTACTCCGGATCCAACTGAGAGGTATTAGGAACATTATTAATAAAATACTCATTTAAAATATCACATTAATAGAAAGACGATGATAACTGAGCACTAGAAATATTTAGGTATTTAAGCGTTTTTCAAAATGTACGTCGAGGGCAGAATTCAGCACCGCTCTTATGGGGCGTGCATTTTTGGCGTTAGGTCTGCCAAAACGAGTGACTTTGCAAATAGTGGACTGTATATCCAGTAGCATTTCTTGTACGGAGCATACTTGTTGCCTGACTCGGGTATGTTGAAAAAAAGTAAGTTGTTAGCTCTGGTTTGGCGATCATGCAGTTCAGCCAATATGTCAATGTTTAAAGATTCAAGTGTTGGTGTTATTGCCTCATTGTGGGCGGCTGGCGCCAGTTGCAAGTCGAGGGATTCCAGGTGGGCTACCCTTTCATTTAGTGAGGTAGTGGCAGCAGAGACTGACTCCTGTACTAGGACTGGTAGGCTTGATTGCAGTTCTGTTACACATCTTTTCAGTTCACATACACGATCCATTAAGCCTAGAATCTGTTTGACATTCCTCATGCATTCTTTGTAGTAGAATGGAAAGGAACGTTTTGAGAGCACTATAGCCCGTATTTCTATGTGGGTCCAGTGATATCACTACATGTTTGACATATTACTCTCTTACAGTGGTCACATGGGTAGCCAAAAACATCATTGCTTTCAGTCTTGGGCTCCTTAAAAGTCACTGTTGCATTGCAAGTGCTGCATGTCCCAGACATATTTTGAGGTTACCTTTAAATATCTTGGTAATTTGCAATCGTCGTACTTTTTGCCGGTTTTATTGATTATGGGTGGTTAAGGACTATCAAATAAGAGGCCCATAACATTATTACAACAAATTACTTAGAAAAATTTTGAACCTGTGCTGTAAACAACTAACATAACCTACTTAGTAAGTTTTGTAAAGGCACTTGTCGGGATCCCAGCCCTGGACTCACTTCATTCATCAGTGTCTGATAATGGTCTTTTTTTCGGACTTTCACGGTCTTTTCTTTATAGTTTTTCCCTGATTTTTTTAATAATATTTCGACTAAAGTTCAACTTTGAGGCTCTATTGCTCAAAAAGAATTTGAGCTTCCAGCACCAATCTAGCACAATTTTATAGAGAATTCAATGAAAGTATAAGTGCAAACTGAGCTGAAATTTTCAGGGATTGTAGTCCCTTTATTGAGATAAGATTCAGTGAAAATTTCAGTTTTCTATCTATAATAGAAAAAAAGTTATGCCTTTCCAAAGTTTTCGAAAATCTAAATCATAAGGTTCTTACCTTCTTACTAAAACGATGAAATTTCAATTTTTTTTTTTGTTGTTGAGATTTTGTGTCTTAATGGTCATTAGGAATCCCCTAAACTCCATACACTAAATTATTCTAAGATTTGAAGCCGAAATCTATGAAAAAAGGCACTCAGAAAAATTGAAAAATTGATAAATTACCCCAAATTGCTTAACACGATTTTATCTTAGGAACTATAAGTGCAAATGAGCTGAAATTTTCAGGGATTGTACTCCCTTTATTTAGATAAGATTCAGTGAAAACTTCAGCTTTCTATCTATAATAGAAAATAAGTAATGACCTTTCAAAGTTTTCCAAAATCTAAATCATAAGGTAGGTATCTTCTTACTAAAACGATGAAATTTCAAATATGTTTTTGTCGAGATTTTGTGTTCTAATTGTCAATCAACATACCCCCAACTCCATACACTAAATTATTCTCAGATTTGAAGCCGAAATCTATGAAAAAAGGCACTCAGAAAAATTGAAAAATTGATAAATCACCCCAAATTGCTTAACACGATTTTATCTCAGGAACTAATTAATATTCAGTGCTCTTCTCAACGATATTATATGCTCAAATTTCAATTGAGATATGAGCAATTTAAAAAAAAAATCTGATTCACAGAATATTAAAAACCTTCAAAACAAAATATTGTTTCAGTAGGAAAAATTCTCCTTTTTTGCCTACCTGATTATTATTTAGTCTGCAAAGGCGTGACGAACTCTATATTATTCTAATACTATGCTGCAATGAATACATCCTTGGCCATGTTTATACTGTAATTCGTTTTGTTTGATTATTCAGATTGGCTTTTTGTTTGTGCTACTTCCAAACTAGTAAATTAGCAACTCTGGATCAATTCACTCTGGCATAATTTCCCTTCTGATTTACGAGTAAATTGCATTGATTGAACTCAGCTTTTCTATGAAAAAAGTCCTAAAACTATGATGTCATGACAAAATATTATCGTTTTTTAATTCCAGTAGGCGAAACCGCTGAAACCAATTTACCATTAAATTATGATCTTATTACAATGGATTATCAAATATGTATTTATATCTGCTTGGTTTGGTTTCGATAAAATGTAACGGAATAAAAATTCAGTTCACATTCAGTTACCTTTCATGTAAACTTGTTGTAAGTAGGCTCTTACAATAATAATTATTATTAGAAAGTAATTTGATTTTTTTATTTAAGTATTTATGTTGTTATTTTAGGTTGCGAGTGTAGGTATTGAAGTGCTGACATTCTTAATAGACAGATTAGGCCATGATTTCCGACCCTACCTTCAGACTGTATTACCCGCCATAATAGACCGATTGGGAGATTCTAAAGACTCTGTACGAGAGAAATCACAATTGCTCATCCTTAAGTTGCTTGAAAGAAACGTGCTCACACCTCAGACATTATTCGAGAAACTCACGCCAGGATTTACACATAAAAACGCCAAAATAAGGGAGGAAGTGTTGCGATGTTTAGTTAATACATTAAATGAGTATGAAATTAACTATATATAAATTGCTTATACTACATTTATGGTTTTTAGACATGGAGCTCATTCGCTTACCTTAAGCAAATTTATACCAGATATAGTAAAACTACTTTCCGATCCTACGTCCTCGGTTAGGGACACTGCATTTAATACCCTAGTGGATTTATACAAACATGTCGGCGAAAAATTGAGGCTCGATATCCAAAAACGTAATTTGGTGCCTCAAGCCAAGTGGTTGGTTTTGGCAGCTAGATTTGATGAAGTGAGAAATAGCGGCGAACTTTTGCCCACTGCTAGCAAAAGTGTGGATTGTAAGTTGTTTTCAATAATAATTATTAAAAGCTTATTATTATAAATTGTTGTAGTAAATTTTGACGAAGTCGATAAAATGTCGCGACCACCTCAATTAGCGGCGCCCTCTATTAAAAGAGCCGCTTCTAGTGTAACTAAACCAAAATCGGCGCCAGTATCTTCAAATGCAGGTAAGTAATTTGCTTGTAAGAAAAAAAAAAATTATCGCTTTATTTATTTTATTTTTCATATGATTAATTTCATCCATTTTCATCTGCATGAAAAGTTTTAAGCAGAGCAGGATCGCTTAGAAAACTTACTGTATCAACTGCATGTAAGTTCATTGTATAATTTGCTTTTTCATTATTCATTCATTTGTAATTTACACAATTAACTTACAATAATAATTCTTCTTTAGCTGGTGCAGTAGACGAAGATTTCTTTGTCAGATCGTTCCATGAAGTGCCCACAATTCAAATATTTTCCGCCAAAGATGTTTCCGATCACTTAAAATCGATCCAGGAAACGATATCGGACCAATCAAAAGACTGGAACAAACGTCAAGACGCTCTAATAAGGTTGCGCTCTTTGGTGATTGCGGGCGCTACCAATTTTGAGGAATTTTTCGTTGGTCTTAAAAACTTAGATTTTGCCTTGCAAGCTTCTCTCAAAGACTTGAGATCGCAAGTGGTTCGAGAAACTTGCATAACTTTGGCGTACTTTTCGCAAAGTATTGGGCCTAGGTTTGATAGGACTGCGGAAATTATTTTGCAGCCTTTGATTATGCTTATACAAAATTCTGCAAAGGTAATAATATTTGTATGTAATCGACATTCAATAATTATTATTAATTTTTTTAAGGTCATGGCAACTTGTGGGGAAATAACTATAAAGTTTATTTTGAAAAACGTACACTCTTCAAGATTAATTCCAATAATTGCCAGTAATGTTATTAACTCGAAGAGTAAAGAAATTCGCAGGTCTTGTTGCGAGTTTGTTGAAATAATATTGACTAATTGGCAGACCCATCCACTAGAGAAACATGAAGCTTTATTAAAGGATTGTATTAAAAAAGGTGTAGCAGATGCTGATCCTGAAGCTAGAGTTTTATCAAGGAGGTATAAGAATTGCATAGTATTATAAGTTTTACTGACAATAATTTTATTGATAAAGTTTGTAGGGCTTTCACGGCCTAGGTTTATTGATAAAATGTTTTTATTTGGGCTTAATGGCCGTCGTAAGTTGGAATTTCTTCCTGATGTTTATAGACCCTATGACTTTCTTCAGTTTTCTGATCTTTAAAATGCTTGTAACTTTCATCTCTTATCCTCACAGCTTTCTTCACCCTTATTACGGTCCACCACGGTTTATAACGGGATCGAATTTTAATTAACTTCAAAAAGGAACAACTGTGTTTAGTGTTTTAGTAAGAGTATTGATAAACAACACACTTATAGTCTACATCCATTAACTCATACATAATTTCCCAGCCCAACTAATATACAACAACTGATATCTTAACATTTTCTAATCAATATTTTTGCCTCTAGTTTGTATTAATACTGGTGGAGTTTTGCAGGTCTTGGGGCCGGGATTATAAAGCTGGTGAACCAAAGGTTGAGTTTTAACCAGCGGTCCAACTGACATTTCCATATGATTTTATATGGACATTTTGGTTCAACCGCTGGTTGAAACTCAGCCTTCGGTTCACTACCTTTATAATACCGGCCCTTAAAGACTAATATTTCCAAGGCAACATAATGGTCCCCTATTCTAAGTATGTACAGTTGTGATAAAAAAAAAGTAGTACAAAAATTATTAACCCTAATTTGTGCTCCCGGTGTAACATACAAAGTTTTGACAGTAAACAAACATTTCAAAATATGTTGAGGTTAAGCGATGACATTCTAGGTTAAAAACGGGTGGAAAAATGTCAAAGTAATGTCATCTGAAGCTTTCTAGGTTACAAATTTGTCGAAAAATGCCAAAAATATATCATTTTTGGTTATGAATTGAATTAATGTATAATAGACCAGGAGATTTTGAAGTTGTTTTGTTAAGGATGGAAACATTAGTTATATTCCTTTCAAGAGTTTGAACCACTTGAGCTACTCGCTCCGGTGTTCAGTCGCCCCCGATTTGCAGGGAACAGATGCGTGGTGCAACAAACACTTTTAGAAAGAAATAAGCGCGTGAAGCCCCGGAGCTGTTCCAGAGCTCCTCCTAGGTGTGAAAGGAATACAACTACTGTAATATGAATGTGTAGACTCGTCTTCTGTAAGAATTGCTCTAGAGTATCATCGAGCGAAATTAGAGTACTAACTGCTCAGACAAGAGCTTAACGTTCTATTGTCGTGAGTGTGTGGAGGTGATACATACATCAGTCAGAAACTTTCCAACTATGAAGGAACCAATTAGCAGCATTGAAAAAAATTGAATCCCCTTGAAATGTCTCACAAAGATCTTGCAAACACAGTTCCTGTTAAAGTGACCTGTGGACTTGTGGATGACTTTGCTGATTTGACAACTAACCTAAAGAGTATGCTCAATTCTCAAACGGAACTCATTGGAACACAACTAAATAATGTAGTTGACAATATCAGGAAGTTCAATAAGGAGTTGATAAAATTGAAACCACTTAAGTAAGTGAAGCAGTCAACAACACCAATAATACCGAGAAAACTTTCAAGTTGTTGGGTGCTGAACAACACATCAGAGGCTCTAATAAGCGTAGCTTGGGACTGGCAACGGCGGCTAAGCAATCCTGGTTCTATGTGGGAAATCTAAGTGGTGACACTTGGAATCCAATAACATACCAACTCAGGTTACTGAAAAACTTCAATCTAGAAATGAACAAATAGCTTCCTTTAAGCTCTCTGTAGAGCCTACTATGATTCATCAATATTGAGACCAGAGTTGTGGCCCGAAGATACAAAAATTTTCATCGAGAGGCTGAGGACTACTAGATTCTTAACAACAGAAATTTTCTCCAAAGGTAAAATCAGACCAAAAACAATCCTCCAAACCATGTCCAGAATCACCGATAAGTGTCTATTACCAGAATGTGAGGGGCTTAAGAACCAAACACCGTGTTGTTTATATTTAGTTACTATTTTATCGGCTGGTGTCCCAGGTACAGTGACTAGTGACTCAATAAATCTTTACAGACAGTGGCGACAATAGAGATTCCGCCTCCATATTCTTCCTAATTTTAAATAGAAATCTCGCCTCCAGGACCAATCAAGAATAGGACGGTAATTAGAAAATTCGAATCCGAAGATATTACCCATTACTACGGGATTGTAAATCGCTCTCAATTTTAGAAATCAAGGTCATATGATGATGCACCATTGTCGACGTCATCACTGGTACGTTGGCGTGGTGAGGGTTTGAGATTTGGGGCCAAATTACAGTATATCTGCATCTGCAAATTTGCAGTTCTGCAAATATGGCCGACTTGCAAATGTGCTCTATTTGCAGAAACAAGCAAATTACAGAAAAAAATCTGCAATTTCGTCATATTTATCGGAAAAAGTGTTTGGGCGCTACTGATTTACTATATTCAAATGCCAAAGTTGTCAAAGTGATTGCAAGGACTTGCGGGACCGTTTCACCATGCGCAAATTTGCAGGCGACTTGCAAATGCGTTCTGCTTCTGTAATACGAAAAGTCAGACTTGCAGGTCCTGCATTTGTATCTTGGTGTTGCAGAGCTTCTGTAATTCCGGGCTTGATCTACACAGGTCCTATGAGATAAATAAGGTACAGTACCCGAACCTCAAAAACGCAAGAAAGATACCATTGAGTACCGAGAAAGCTCAGATTAGCCACGTGCTGCGAAGCCCCGCCCCGCCCCACCCCTACCACAATCACTGACACATAAATACATCTTTTCGTCAGTCTGCTACTAGAATCGGACATAGAAGCACCTCTGAAGATGCTAGCGAAACGTCAGGAAAAAATTCCAACTTACGACCAAGGTTCCTAGAGTAACGGTAATACTAAATAGATGACGTCATTAGGAGGATTTTATGAAAATTTGCATTATATTTAGTCGTCTGGATGTCATAAAAGTTATCAGGCAACCTACCTCTTTCAAACAACCTTGACTTACAACGGCCATTAAGTCCGAATGAAAACACTTTATCAATAATTTCATTTTCAGAGCCTTCAGAGGTTTCAAAGATCATTTCCCTGAGCAAGCAGAAGCACTGCTGCAGTCTCTAGAACCAAGTTACAGAAGAGCTCTTCAAGGTGATGGAATGTCAGCCAGTTCGTCCAATAGTAATCTCAACAGTTGCTACAAGACTCCAAGATATAACAAAACTCCAAGCAGTACCGTACAAAGTGCTTCAGGTAAGTCAAAATTGTTTCAAATACTTCAAAAGTCAAACACGTTTTTATCATGCTGCTTTGGGATAAATTAGGCAGCATTGAAAATTTGGCTAGTAGCGGATCAGGCCTACATAGAGCACCGTCATTGCCTAGAACCTATAGGCAGCGTAGTGGCATTCCTGTATTATCTAAAGCGGATAGTATGTGGTCATTTTTTTGTTTTAAGAATTTTTTATTCAATTCACTCATTATTTGCTTTTCATTGTAGATACAGGCAACAGGAAAGGATTTAGGAGCAATTCAGCTATAGATCTTCAGGCAGCACAGCGAGCAAAAGCGAGAGCACAATATTCTGCTATGGCCAGGAACAAAATACAATCGGGCACCGCTAGTCTTCGTAGGTTTCAAACTTTCATTTAATTTAACATTCTAACAGCATGATAGTTTTCTAGTAGATTAATAAGCAAAGTGTAATAGAAAATTAATACAAATTAATCCCGATGTGTTTTTGTGTATGTTTTTTAGTGTTTTGAACATTAACATTGTTGCTTTTTTTCATGTGCCGCAGAGGGAGAGGTAGCTCTATCAGGTAATCATTCATCACTCTGTTAACATGTTAATTATGTAATCAAATTGAATATTTTATGTATATATTTTTTTGTGTAGCCCGACCTAAAAGGATACCAGACGCACCTGTGATGGCTTCTCCTGAAAGAAGTGGCAGAACACGAAGTAGAAATTCACAATCTCAACGTAAGTTTCTCTATATGTATAGGATTTTCAATTAATAAAATACTTCATTTCAGCTACAAGTAGATCAGGTTCTCCCAGTTCTAGATTAGCTTACCTCTACAGCAGACCAACAGAGCACGATTCTGGACGTCCTAGAAGAATGTCGTCTGGTATTCCTAGATCAACTGAAGGTAGACATTGAATTTTATAAGAATTACAAGTTACAGTTGAAAATTTCCAGGTTCAAGAGACACTTCAAGAGAAACAAGCCCTAATCGTGGTGCCTACATAAGTAGATTTAGAAGAGGATCCGATAGACCGCCATTGAGTCCTGCACCTCGACCCGTGCTAGCTCAAAAAATACTGCAGCAAAGTCGCGAAGCTGAATCAGCTTTGGCAGATGCTTTTGTAGGTTAATTTTTCCTATTAGTTTTCTTAAATAATACAATATTAATTTTTCTAGTGTGATTCACCTGAAACTCCTTTTAGAAGCCCCAGAAAATCTCTCAGATCAATAGATAATCATTCTGATGAATCTGAAACTTCCAGCATTTGCTCAGAAAGATCTTATGATTCGTTCAAGAGGCCATCTGAGGTGAGTTTTTGTTTATGGTTGTCATATTTTGGTAGAAGGATTTCACTTTTGTGTAATAAAAAATTTCATTTTCATCTCAGTCATACTCGTGGAGTGGGTCACAGCAAAGGTTAGCTAGCAGGGACTTGTGGGAACCCTGCAGAGTAAGTACAACAAATGTTTGTGCACCTTTTACTGCTAGCAGTAGTTTTAGCAAGCTTTTAGCCTAATAAATTCTGAAGGGTGAAGTACACATGGAAACATTTGAAGATACAGGGTGGACCCGATGGGAAATAATCTGCCAACCTTGTATCTTCAATGGTTTTAAAATTCCCATGTATCTACCTCAAGTTATTCCGGACACCCTGTATTGCTTGCTTTTTGTGCCTCGTTTAAGCTCTTGTTGTGGTACTTTATGAAGCTAGGCTGGGATTCTGTAGCGAATAGAGATATTTTTGCATGCAAAAATGTTTAAAATCTGCAAAAATCACTTGTGCAAAATACTTCTAATGATCACAGTGACTTAAAACTTTCAAGATTTATGAGTTGAAGTTTCCTCTTTGAAAAAGTTAATATAGAGTTGATTTGAAGCTCCAAACTTAATTTAGAAGCTCTTTTCCATGTTGATGCATGCAAAAATGATTAAAATCTGCAAAAATCACTTGTGCGAAATACTTTTAATGATCACAGTGACTTGAAACTTTCAGGAATAATAAAGTCTTTTTCATATGGAAAAGTTAATTTGAAGCTCATTTTCATTTCATTAAAGTTACATGAAAAAACTGTAAAAATGTGCTGACCTGAAAGTTAGTAAGTTTTTGAATTACGGAGTGAAAATTCTGAATCGAAATGAATGAGTTATTGAATTAATGAGTAAATTGCTGCGGGACGAGCGGAGCGAGGTTCGTGAGAAATTCACTTATTAATAAGAAAAATTCTGACTTATATTAGACCGTTTCCCCATACATAACGACAACCCTGTATATACATAAATCATGCTGGTTGTTAGACCACTGTGAACGGGTGAAATTACCGTTAAATAATACTGGTTTATTCAAAAGGTGGTTTATGACATCAAAAGAAACAGTATTTAATTTATGTACAGGGTGGTCTAATTTGAACAGGTTCAATAGGGAATGTTATTTCCAGGGTCCTAATCCTTGAAACAAGGGAGCAGCGTTCCCAGGAGAAAGAGTGTTCTGTTTTTATTACTTATATTATCAGTTGCATATCGTTGAGAAAGACGGAACACTCGTTCTCCTGGGAACGCTGCTCCCCTATTTCAAGAATAAGGACTCTGAGCGAAATACAAACAAATATGAGCTTCAGAGTGGGAGAATCTCGTTCAGAAATTGACGTTTTCTATGAAACCTGTATGTACATACTGTTTGCAAAGTGCACACTTGCATTCTGAAAAAAAAATGACTGATACATAAGTTCCTTAGATTCTGCTTTGCACATTAAATCCATCGTTGAAAAACAATACAAAATTCATAGAAGCTAAACTCAATGTATTTCAACAGGACATCAATGAAATAATCGCCCTTTGCACCAGTACAACGTGGCAAGAGCGCCGAGACGGTCTGATGTCCCTACAGTATTATTTAAGTCAAGAAATCAAGCTCACCGATGGCGAATTGAAATATCTAACCGAATTATTTGCCAAAATGTTCACGGATTCGCATACAAAAGGCATGGGGGTCTTTTTAGACACTCTTCACGAGGTAAAAATCAAACAAGTTTATATAAATCAAGCTCAATCAAATTATTCTAGGTCATAACAATCCACAAAGAAGATCTACATTACTGGCTTTACGTCCTCCTTCAAAGAGTATTCCTCAAAATCGGCGGCGAAACTCTAAACTCAATCGCCAGCAAACTAATAAACACTCTAGACTTAGTGCGTAATTGTTTCAGTACAGATTTATTGATCGCAAATGTGTACCGATTTTTATTGGACGCCACCCAAACGCCCAACGCCAAATCAAAAGCTGTAGTATTGAATTTTCTAACAACTTTATATTCACATGCGGACGCCGCTAGTGCTGTCGCAACCTCCCCAAACGCGCTGCAAGTATTAAAAAAGCTCATCGCTTTCTCTCAGGACGCAAAATCTATGGAAATTAGGCAGGCGGCTAAAGTTTGTATTGTGGCTTTTTGGAATTGTAACATTCCTGAAGCTTCGAGGATGTTTGCCGAATTACCCAAGGAGCAACACGATATTGCTTCTAATATTGTACATAATCATGTTAGGAAAACTTCCACTAGTAGTGAACCTGGTAGTCCGTTGGTTGCTAGAAGTCCTAAGCCGGCAGGATCGCCGGGAACGCCACCTTTTGGCGATCAAGAGGAGGTTTATAAGAGTCTGCGACGTACTACAGCGGAAATTCAAAATTACAGTTTTGAAACTTTAGGTAATTATTGTTTTGTTAATAATACATATTTATTTATTTGAAAACAAAATCCTAGGGCCTAAATTGGAAAGGGACAGAGATACAACCTCGCAAGATTCAGGTATATCGCAAATGTCTACAGGAAATGATCTTAGAAATGAAGCAACCATTGAAGAAAAAATGGAACAATTAAATCTTGGTGCAAGGTCTGGCCCTATGTCTTTACCTTACACTAGTGTCAATGGTGTTTCAGAGCCTGATTCGAACGGTTGTAGAAGTTTAGGTAAATGTTACCCTTTTTCTTGAAGACAATATAAGTTTGACATTTTAGGAGAAATCAAAGACTCTGATGTAATAGTTAAAGAAGTGTTGGAAAAATGCTGTATAGGTCACATCACTTCTAGCTCTGACAAAAGGAGACTGTTATCGCAATTATTGGATCTTGTTAGGCAGGGTCATATTGAAAGTATCATTGAGAATTTTAAGTAAGTACATTAATAACCTGAACACATTTGCTTATCAAATATACATTTTTTTTTTCTAGGAAATTACTTAGGATTTTGATAGATCATTTAGCTAGCGACGACGATGGTCCAGCTAAAGTATTAGTATTAAAAATTTTAACTGCAATTTTCCAAAATCCGAATATGAGAACTACATGGGAAAATTTTGTCGAATTGCTTACTTTGAAAGTATTAAAAGCTCATACGGATGATAGAAGAGAAGTAATAACTTAACTGCCATAATAATAGTGATTGTTTATTCATTATTTTTTAGGTGGTTAAAGAGGCAGAAACTACTGCAGCAGCAATGGCCGTTTGTCCATTTGATACAGTAGCTTATACTCTGGCGCCTCTTATTCGTACTAGTCCTTATCCTGAAGATTTAGGTGCCATTAAAATGTTAACCAAACTAGTTGAGGCTAATCCAGATCAGATTACTGACGATCATTTAAGACAAATTATGCCTGGAATATTAAAGGTAAGTAAAAATTATTACAAAAAATATTGTCTTGGGGCCTACTAGAATCATGACCTCATCTCCTTCAATAAATAGCCAGAGAAATTTTAAGAAATAAGTCAAAAGTTATTGAAGAAAATATCTATTTTAAAGAAGACCAAACATGAAACATATTGTCACAACTGTCCGCTTTACGGGGGTGACATGGGGGGTTTGTAGCTTTGGGGGTCGATGAAGAGAAACTCGCTCAAGTTATATAAAAAAGACAAAAAGGTAGATATATATTTTCCCAAATATACCATTACATATACAATAGTCCTATAAGATGCCTGACCCTTCAAACACTGGGGTCCTTATAGGGAGCCACACGTCAATGCTGCTTGGGGGACTGTAGATTTGTTATCGTCACCCTTATGCCTTATCCAGAGGGGCTTTCCCAACGAGAGGTAGTTGCACTGGTTTAAGTCTGCCTTTGCTGCGACTTGCAACGCAATATATATCCGTTTATTGCAGAATTGCAATAAACATCCGACCAAATCGGCGATTAAATTGATAAGGTTGAATACCGGGTCCTCTTTTCCTAAGCAGCTACTTGACATATGCCCCCCCTCCATGAAGCATTGGACCCCAATGCTTGGAAGAGACATTTAAGTGTCCACTTGTCGGTGATGCATGTAGCTCCCACATAATTTCTTCTCTCATTGATTTTGGTACTACTAATACTTTTTCTAAGCCGTTTTTTGTCTTATTTATTTTATAGAGTAAGTCTTTTTCAATCCTAAAATTTTTTGCTCTTCTTCCAATATTAATTTCTGGGTCGTCTGAGTTTCTTATAGCTTTGAATATATGTTTTAGATTTGGGTCTTTTTCGTGTAATGTAGCCGTTTGCACTGATTTTAGAGTAAATCTGGGGAGCTCCTATTGCTCTTCTTTTTCCTGGGATTCTGGTTGAAGCACTGGATTGCGGGACATACAGTCGGCGTCGCTGTGTGTTGAGCCTTTTTTATATACAACCGTGTAATCGAATTCTGCAAGTTTTAGTGCCCACCTGGTCAAGCGTCTGTTACTTTCCTTAATGGAGTCCATCCAGCAAAGAGCATGGTGGTCAGTGACGATTTTTACTAGTCTTCCGTAAATTAAGTGTCTCAGATAGCTCAATTCCCACACTACGCCTAAGAGTTCTAATTCACTAATTGAATAGTTCTTTTCGCTATTTGAAAGACTTCTGCTTATGTAGGCTATTGGATGTGCTTCTCCCTTGTCGTCTTCTTGTAAAAATACTGCCCCAATTCCACATGTTGCTGCGTTGGTGTGTACAATAGTATCTTTATTTGTATTGAAATGCTGTAGCACAGGTGCGGAAACCAGTTTTTCTTTAAGGATGTTAAATGTTTTGTTTTGTTCAGAACCCCATTTGAACCCTATATGTTCTTTCTTGTAACTTCATGTAGCGGTCTTGCTATTGATGCAAAGTTATGTATAAATTTTCTATAAAAATTACATAATCCTAGAAAGCTCTGTACATCTTTAATTTTCTTTGGCGTCGGGAACCCTTTTATGCAAATTATTTTTTCTTCATCTGGTAATATGCCTTGCTCCTTTACTTTGAATCCTAGTATTTTGATTTCTTTTTTCAAATATTCGCATTTGCTTGGTTTTAGAGTAAGGTAAGCTTGTCGCAATCGCTCAAAAACTTTCTTTGGTTTGCTCAAGTGTTCTTCGAATGTTTGTGAGAATATAATGATGTCGTCTAGGTAGATTAGCACTTCCTTCCATTTCATATCCCGAAAAACTTGGTCTGCTAGTTCTTGGAAAGTGGCTGGAGCGTTGCATAATCCAAAACTTAAAACATTAAATTCGTAAGTCCCATGCCCTTGCGCCACGAAGGCAGTGTATTGCTTGGACTTCTCTTCGACTGGAACTTGCCAATATCCGGAAAACAGATCGAGTGTGCTGAACCATCTTGCATTGCCCAAGTATGACAAAATGTCATCGATCTGCGGTAGTGGGTATGTTGATTTTTTTGTTACTGTGTTCACCTTTCTGTAATCTACACAAAATCTTGTTTTTCCATCTTTTTTCTTAACTAGCATCACAGGGCTAGCCCATGGATAGTGGCAAGGCCGAATTGCTTTGCTATCGAGCATTTCCTGGATTTGTTCGTCAATAATCTGTCTTTCTTTTTGTGACACTCTGTATGGGCGGCTCTTTATTGGGCGAGCCTCACCGACGTCTATTATGTGTTCTGTTAAGTTTGTCTTTCCCATATATTTTGTAGATTTCGCGAAAACGTCGTTGTATTCCAGAAGGAGTTCTTTGAGTTCATGCCTGTTCTTCTCGTTTGTGATGCTGTCTAACTTATGATCTTCCATTGTTATTTCTTCGCTCTCTTCATCTTTTTCTGCTTGCAACATGAAATTGTGTGAAAGATTTGTCTCTGATATTGTTTCTGCCAAAAATGCCATTGTGATTCCGGCGTATACAGCTACTGGGTTCCTTGTGTTTGATTGTACTTTTAAAATGAGGCTACCTTCATTGGTGTGAATGTGCGTTTTTAGTTCAAGATGATTTTTTGCTAACCAATCTAAATTATATTTGCATGTATACGTAGTATTATCTTTCATCTCAGTATTTTTGCCCATAATATCTAATTCCAATGTTTTTAACTCATTCTGAGACACCGTATAATCTTTCTTTGTACCCAATTTATATGTCTTTTTCTTGGTTTCTGTACCGATTTGCATCAGATGCCTGATTTCTTCTTCCTGCTTTTCTTCTTTAGCTTTATACCCAGGTTTTTCCCTATAAATATGAATTTGAACCCCTGCATCTTCAAATAGAAAATATATCATCTGTTTAAATCTTGTCCATTCTTTTTCTAATCCCCATCCTTGTCTTGGAATGACTAATTTTTTGATGGATTTATTTTTTGAGATATTGTTCCTCAGTGCTATAAGACATTTATACATGTTTCTTGGACTTGGCTTCTTCTTCATTGATTCTCTTGTAAATAGGAAAATGAGTGATTTTTTTCCTTGTTTTGACATAAATAGCTCCCCAATGGTTCCTTTCTCTCTCTTTTCTGGAATCATATGCCTATATTTTCTCAAAACTGATTTTTTTGATTTGTAGTTTTGGGTTACTCCTACTACTAAAACGGCATCGTTCGTTAGGACGTCTATGTTTCCATATTCTTCTTTCAGGAGACCGTTAACCTGGTCATCTTTTATGTGAATGTGCTCTCTTACAAATTTGTTAAACTCTTGTTCATCTCTTGAAGTATCTAGTTTAAGCTCTCTCGTTTTAATCGGCTGTTTTGTTGTGACCAGACCTGACATGTTGATTTTTTCGTTATTTATTTGTCTTAGGGGTATTTCATGCTGACCATTCAATGTCAGTTTTTTCTGTGGGAGATCTATGATCGCGTTATTTTTTGTCAAAAACTCCATGCCTAGGATTATTGGTTGAGTTAATGATGAAATCACTTTGGTGTTTAGTCTGCCCTTCCATTTTTGACTCCCTGGTATTTCTATTGGAACTTCAATGTCTCCTAAAACTTTTATCTGGTGTCCCCCTGCAGGGACTAGAACCGTGTTATCATTTCTTGTTAGTTCCTCTTTGATTAGACTTCTTTGTAGAACGCTATCTTGTGCTTCTGAATCTACGATTGCTGACATGTACTTATTATTTAATCTATTTGTGATGTGCAAGATTCCTACGTTATTGTTTTACCCAGGGTAAGGATGGCAGAGGCTTTTAATTTTGCCATCCCTTCTCGTTTGAGTTTTGTCGTCGGGTTGTACAGGTGTTTGCATAGTGACCCTGTTTTCCACAAACAAAGCAACCAGGATTGTTTTTGTTGTTTCGTGGCGCATACGATTTGTTCTTTTGAGGCTGGCTTCTGCATATTGTTGCAGTATGTCCTGTTTTCCCACAGTTGTAACAAACAGTGGCAATTTTTGAGTTGGAGTTATGATTTCTCATCTTTTGGCTCCTACATACAGCTGCGAAATGTCCTGTTTTCCCACAATTATAACACGTTTGGCTAGATATTGGTACTCTTGTGCTTGTGTGTTCTCCTTGCATTCGGATTCTGCAGGTGGCCATTACATGTCCTCTTTTTCCACAACAATAACATATCTTTAGTTTTGTGTCTGTGATTGTATTTCTTTCCGTACCGCTGGTAATTTGGGTAAGTATCTTGCGTTGCACCTTTCTTCGGTGCTTTTTCTATCGTGTTTGCTATTTATTTTAATTGTATAAGTGATGTTGGTGGCTTGTTCGGCGGGTTTGTTAACCAGTAGTAATTGTAATGATTAGTCTCAGTCAACCCTTCGCTGAAAATCCTTACAAATTCTTGTATATCAAATGTATGTATGTAATTGTGGTATAATACTTGTAAATCGTACAAGTATTCCTTGACTGACTCTTGACCTTGTTTTCTGTTTTCGACTTTTTTCTTGAGTGCCTTTTGGTAATCTGTATCCTCAAATTTCTCTGAAAAATCTTTGATAATGTCTTTCCTGCTGTTGTTTTGGTGGTCGCGCTTATATTCCTGAAACCACAGTATGTTTCAAAATATAGTTATTTATGTAACAAGTGTGTAAAGTGAACCTTTTTTCAGGAATGTGAATTTTGACAATCACATGAATGAAAAAAGGTGCTTTACGCACGTATTGCATACAACATTTTTTCCACTATCAATCAGATATGTGTAGAAAAATTGATTTAGACAAATACCTTACGCACTAGTGGGTGAAGTATTTTCACTTTATGCACTAGTGCGTGAAGTAATTTACCAGAAAAATACTAAATTGACAGTTTGACATTACTTTACGCACTAGTGTGTGAAGTGAATTACTTTACGCACTAGTGCGTGAAGTGAAATTTCACGTCTTCTGAATAGTGCGTGAAGTGAGTACTTTACGCACGGTAGTAGGAAATAGCTATTTATACAATAAGTTACGAAATGAGCGTCTTTTAGGCACGCGACGTGAAAATTGTCCAACGAGGCAAAGCCGAGTTGGACAACACGTCGAGTGACTAAATGACATCGTTTCGTAACTTATTGTATACAAGATTTTTTCTACTGGCATTTTATAATAAAAAAACACAATTTTATTTCATGTGAATAAGTCGATTACACCCAAAATCTTTGTTACCTGCTTTTACTTGACACCTGACACTTTTCATGCGATTTTCTTTCCAAAATTCGACATCAATAATTAAAATCCTAGAAAGTAGGTAATAACACAAACTTCTGTTTTGAGTAACCCAAACGTTCAATTCAGTAATTCCATTTTCAATATTCATAATAAATACAAAACAAAATTCAAATATGTGTTTAGTGTGTTTTTTATTTCTGAATAATGAATGACACTTTTAGGCACTAGTGCTTAAAAATTACTTTTACGCACTCATAAGTCACTTTTACGCATTCAAAAGTCACTTTTACGCACTGAGTGCCTAAAAGTAACTTTCACGCACTCAGTGCCTAAAAGAATGTCGTTTCAAAACTGAAATGACAATCGAAAAGTTGCTATTATGAAACGTCAGTAGAAAAAATAATTTTCAGCTTTTGGTCCCATCCATTTGCTATCGCTGATCTTCTGTCATATGTTCTTAGGAACTCGATCGCGCTGGTTTTACACGGCTGGAAGGTTTGAGGGTTGATAAACTGAGGCAACTTCGCCTGTTTCTCCGCTGTCATAGCATCAGTTATTGTGGTGTTCGCCATTATATCCGGCTGGTGAGCTACCAAAAACAGTCACACTGTCTTCTTCGTAGCTTGTTTGATGATTTGCTTGGTTTTCTGTCTCACTGGTAATCTGCTCCAAACTGATACTAGCCGACTTTGGTGGTGATCTTTGCAGTGGTCTTCTCGGCAGAAAAAGCGCGTTTTCTGATTCTGTGCTCCTATGGGGTGGTCTAAATAATTCTACTGGTGTCGTTGCTGCTGCGTTTTTTGGCTTCAAATTGTATTTGGGTTTGTCTGGCATCTATTCTTGCCACAATGGCGACAGTAAACCGGTCAAAATTTATTCTATTGGCACTAGTTTTTTAAATCTACGAGTCTTTTCTTCACCTTCGCCACGGTGTCGTGAATTTCGCTCGAGTGCTTTCGTCACGGTACCGTTTGTCGACGTATCGCGTCGTGACGTGTTTGGGCGTTGGCTTTATTCAAAGGCGCCTTACGGCGTCGGTTTCGAGACGGCACCTCCACCAAATATACCACAACTGCCCGCTTTACAGGAGTGACATGGGGGATTTGTAGCTTTGGGGGTCGATGAAGAGAAACTCGCTCATGTTATATAAAATGGTAGATATATATTTTCCCAAATATACCCTTACATATACAATAGTCCTATAAGATGCACGACTCTTCGAACACTAGGGTCCTTATAGGGAGCCACACGTCAACGCTGCTTGGGGGACTGTCAATTTGGTATCGTCACCCTTACGCCTTGTCCGGAGGGGCTTTCCCAACAAGAGGTAATTGCACTGGACAACGATAAGGTTGAAGATACCGAGAGGGGCTTTCCCAACGAGAGGTACTTGCACTGGGGAGACTTAATTCCAGAGGGGCTTTCCCAACGAGAGGTAGTTGCACTGGTTTAAGTCTGCCTTTGCTGCGGCTTGGAGCGCAATTTATATCCGTTTATTGCTGAAATGCAATAAACATCCGACCGAATCGGCAATTAAATTAATAAGGTTGAATACCGGGTCCTCCTTTCCTCAGTAGCTAGTTGACAATATACTCAAAGATCTAGAAGAACAAAAGCAAAAAGGAGATATGAATACAAGAGTCAGATACCAATGTTCCAAAAATGATTTTCTCTCAGAATGAAAAAATGAACGTCTCAAAAAACTGTTTGAGTCCAAATTTTCATTATTCCTGGCTCTTGATTTGCTGGATAATTCTCATTCAAGAACCATTAATTGCTCAAATTTTGATTATAATTGGCTCTTGACCATGAGCCAGAAATATTTCAAATTCTGATAATCAATGAATGTCTCAAAAAGCTGTTCAAATTTTCATAATTAACTGGCTCTTGATTCACTAATAAAAACAATAATTTTATTTCAGGGAACAGATCATAACGAAAGCCCGGTGCGGAAAAGTTCAATCTTCTGCATGGTAGCTTTATACAAGGCAGTTGGTGAAGAACGTTTTTCCATCTACATCAACGGTTTGACTGGCAGCAAAGTCAAATTGCTGAGATTGTACATCAGCAGGGACGAACAAAAATCGTCTACTGCGAGTCCCAATAATCACACTCCCAAATTTTAGATTTACATTTCATTGACTAGTGCATAAATTTTCAAGATAAGTTCATGTACACGTACGTATGAGTTTATGTAAGAAATAACGTGAGTATTTCACAAATTTGAATATTTTGCAGCTGCTTGCCAAATTATGGACCAACTGATAAGTGTCTGGTTGTTCCAGTTGGTACATAATTTGGCCCTAAGTTTAATTTCGTTAACTTTCTGTCAATAATTATATTAATTTGTTAAGGTAGAAAAACTAATTTATGGCTGTTATATGCATCATTTTTCCTTTTAGAGTTTTTAAAAAGTGAAATGTAGATATTTGGTAATATTTTTTCTTTTTTGTAATTAACACCTTATTACTGCATACATTTTTGGTTATTAACTTATTTATCCATTCACAATCCGATGTCCACAGGTACAGGTAAAATTTATCACCTTTCAATGTTATTTGATAGGGAAAGGTTACCTGTACCTGTGGACATCGGATTGTGAATAGGATATATACATTTTTATGTGAATTGGCACATTATAATTAACCTATTATTATTGGCAAGTCATTAAAACTAAATTAAGTTTGACTATTCTAATTGTTTATTATAGCACCTGTTATTTTTGTTAATATTTTTTTTGGAAATATTGAATGTTGTGATGTTCTCGAATGATGTGCATACAATTATTTACCCTCAAAAATAATGTAAATAGTCACTACAATTTTTTTATAAATGTTTGTAAAATGAAGTCTCTCTCTGGTTTTTTAATTGTCCCAGGGTCGTTATTCTTGAAACAGGGGAGCAGCCTTCCTAGGAGAACTGTCTCTGTTGCTTATATTATCATTGAGAAAGATGAAACATTCGCCTGTTTCAAAAATAAGGACCCAGTTTGTTTTTTCCCAAACTTAAAGCGTGTAGATTTTTTATAGACACACAAAAAAAAAATAGCTTAAAAATAATCTTTTGTATGCCAAATATTATTGTATTAATGTGCTATATTATATCGAGTTCTTTTAAATTGTAAATATATTTTTAGTTAATTATTAATAAAATTCTCCACTAAATTAAGACGCTTTTAAACTAATGTTATACTTTGCCCCCCTTTTTAAATAATGTATTAGTCACTTTGAAATAAAGCTTAATTATTGTTTATGAAGAATTTTTATTTATTCATCCAATACAATAATTATAAAAACACCTTAATATCCTTTAATAGAATGAGCCACGGACCAATTCTGTGCCACTTGCAAAGGCCCTTCAATACTAACACCTTGATCAGCATCAATAATCCCCAATTGATACTTAGGAAAACTTCTAGCATCACGATAGTACAAAACTTCCATGCATCTTTCAACTTGAGCTCTAGCTTCAGCTTGCGTGAGTTGAGGTTTATTATCCAGAGCGTCTCTGAGCATAGGAGTGGCAATATGAGCACCGTAGCCAGTGCAAATAATTTTGTCAGAGTACGCAGTGCCTTGTTTGTCGACCGTGCCTAAGAAAGGCTCTCCGTCTTGAATTCCGGCAACAATAAAATTATTCCAAAGTGGATCCATTTTGCTTCTTCTGTTGTATAGGATTCTGGTCAACCAGCAGTAGAGAGATTTCGGTTTGAGGGTGATACCGTCATCCAAACATTCATCACTTATCCTAAAAAATATATACAATATTATATTGTTTTATAATTAGTTTAGTTTATTTACACTTTTTGTTCAATAAAATTTTGAACGTATTGGAAATCGGCATAATCGCCACTGGAGCCCAAAATTATGTTGTTGTTCACTTTAACGATTCTTGGGCAATTTCTGTATCTGGCTAGTGAACCGTATGAAGCTAAAAGATCACCAGCGATAATGATGCCTTTATCGTAAGTGACAGCTACTAGAGAAGTAGATGTTGTCACTGGAGATCTGAAAGGAAATATTCAAATTAATCGAGAATGCAATTTTGGTTAATGATGAAAAGGATGGTTTAAAAGAAAATCAAGGTGTTTGATGGGAGTTCAAAACTTGAATTTTGCTGACTTTCTCAGGACATTTTTTTTACATTTTATGTAGCTCATAACATCACAGCTTTAAATTCTGAACTACAAATAATTTGCTTATGATTTGGATTTTTGAAAACTTTTGCTTCGAGAATAATTCTACTTTGTCTGTTTTCCTTTCTTGCTTATTGAATTTCTTATGATGCTGTCTTTTACTTTATCATGTCAAGCTTTCTATTGGCCAGGCACAACAATCACGAGACCACTCAACCACTTGGAATAATCAAAATTTGCAATTTACAATTAATTTGTGTCTCACGTTTTGTTTATCACCGTCTTTTATCTTATTATTTCAAATTCTTCATTGGCAAAATTAACATATCAATAATTATTAGGTCTGTTTCTGCAGAAATCAAGAACCAGTCAAAGTGAATTTCATTGGTTGAAACTAGTTTTCTGACTGTTTTTAACCAATGAAATTCGCTCTGACTGGTTTGTTATTTCTGCAGAAACAAACCTATCATTACAAGGCCACTCAAGCACCAGGAATAAACCAAAATCAGCTCATAATTTTCATTTTCCTACTTTGTTTGTGTCTCTCCTTTACTCTCTGAATTTCCTATATTGGTATTTCTCACTTTATTAATTTATTATTTCAGACTCTATAAATTGCGCAAACACAAAATCAAGGGGTAAACCACCATCCCAGAATTGGTGCAAACAATTCCTCAAAGGGGAATTTTTTACGCATAATTCCTCAAAATGCTTACAAATTCCTCCAAATTCCACTAAATATCCCATCACAAATTCCTCCAAATACCACACCACGAACTTCTCCTAATACCCCACAAATTCCTCTAAAACAAGGAAAAATTTTGAAACTTTTTTTATGTAAAGAGGAAGGTGAGAAGCTCATGTTCCCAAAATTTCAAATTTTTCCAGTGGAAAACAGCAACATGAAAAATCTTAGAAATCAACCTACAAAAACTGAATTAGTTGAAAATACAGTCTCACACATTTCAATGTTTTCCTGGAAAACTAGTGAAGGGAAAATTTTGGAACTTTTTGCATGTAAAGAGGAAGGTGAGAAGCTCATTTTCCCGAAATTTCAAATTTTTCAAGCAAAAAATTACAACATTAGGAATCTTGAGAATCAACCTACAATAACTGGATCACCTAATTGAAAATACAGTCTCACTTATTTCAAAGTTTTCCTGAAAAAAGTGAAATGGAAAATTTAAAACTTTTTGCATGTAAAGAGAAAGCTGAGAAGCTCATTTTCCCAAAATTTGAAATTTTTCCAGTGGAAAACAGCAACATGAAAAATCTTGGAAATCAACTTACAAAAACTGAATTAGTTGAAAATACAGTCTCACACATTTCAAAGTTTTCCTGGAAAACTAGAGAAGAGAAAATTTTGAAACTTTTTGCATATAAAAAGGATGGTAGGAAGCTCATTTTCTCAAAATTTGAATTTTTTCCAGTGGAAAACAGCAACATTAAAAATCTTGGAAATCAACCTACAAAAACTGAATTAGTTGAAAATACAGTCTCACACATTTCAAAGTTTTCCTGGAAAACTAGTGAAGAGAGAAATTTGAAACTTTTCGCATGTAAAGGGGAAGGTGAGAAGCTCATTTTCCCAAAATTTGATATTTTTCCAATGGAAAATTACAACATGAGGAATCTTGGAAATCACCCTACAAAAACTGAATTTGTTGAAAATACAGTCTCACACATTCTAAAGTTTTCCTGGAAAACTAGTAAAGGGAAAATTTTGAAACTTTTTGCATGTAAAGAAGAAGGTAAGAAGCTCATTTTCCCAAAATTTCAAATTTTTCCAGTGGAAAACAGCAACATGAAAAATCTTGGAAATCAACCTACAATAACTGAATTAATTGAAAATACAGTCTCACACATTTCAAAGATTTCCTGGAATCTAGTGAAGGAAAAATTTTGAAAGTTTTTGCATGTAAAGAGGAAGGTAAGAAGCTCATTTTCCCAAAATTTCAAATTTTTTCAGTGGAAAACCGCAACATGAAAAATCTTGGAAATGAACCTACAATAACTGAATTAATTGAAAATACAGTCTCACACATTTCAAAGTTTTCCTGGAAAACTAGTGAAGAGAGAAATTTGAAACTTTTCGCATGTGAAGGGGAAGATGAGAAGCTCATTTTCCCAAAATTTCAAATTTTTCCAATGGAAAATTACAACATGAGGAATCTTGGAAATCACCCTACAAAAACTGAATTTGTTGAAAATACAGTCTCACACATTCTAAAGTTTTCCTGGAAAACTAGTAAAGGGAAAATTTTGAAACTTTTTGCATGTAAAGAAGAAGGTAAGAAGCTCATTTTCCCAAAATTTCAAATTTTTCCAGTGGAAAACAGCAACATGAAAAATCTTGGAAATCAACCTACAATAACTGAATTAATTGAAAATACAGTCTCACACATTTCAAAGATTTCCTGGAATCTAGTGAAGGAAAAATTTTGAAAGTTTTTGCATGTAAAGAGGAAGGTAAGAAGCTCATTTTCCCAAAATTTCAAATTTTTTCAGTGGAAAACCGCAACATGAAAAATCTTGGAAATGAACCTACAATAACTGAATTAATTGAAAATACAGTCTCACACATTTCAAAGATTTCCTGGAAAACTAGTGAAGAGAGAAATTTGAAACTTTTCGCATGTGAAGGGGAAGATGAGAAGCTCATTTTCCCAAAATTTCAATTTTTTTCAGTGGGAAATAACAACATGAAAAATCTTGGAAATCAGCCTACAACAACTGTATTCATTATTCTTTTGAATTTTTTAAATTTGACAATCTCCTTTAAATTCCTCATGAATTCCTCACAAATTTTCCCAAATTCCCGAGCAAATTCCCAATAAATTCCTCCAAATTCCCTATAAATTCCCCAAATTCTCATAAATTCGGATGAGTTCCTTCAAATTCCTCACAAATTCCTCTAAATTTCCCACAAATTCCTGTAAATTCCCCACATTTTTGGCAAAGAATTCCTAGGTGGTTTGCCCCTTGCACAAAATTTACAAAGGCTACTCAAGCGCCGAGAATAATCCTACTTTGTCTGGTTCCCTTTCTCGCTTATTGAATTTTTTATATTGCTGTCTTTTACTTTATCATTCCAAGCTTTCTATTGGCCAGACACAACAATCACGAGTCCTCTCAATCACTGGGAATAATCAAAATTCGTGTCACAATTAATTTGTGTCTCACTTTTATTCATTGAATTTCGTTTATCGCCGTCTTCTACCCTATTATCCCAAGCTCTTTATTGGCCAAATTGATATAACAATAATTTTTATTAAAAGGCCACTCAAGCGCCAGGAATAAACCAAAATCGACTCATAATTATTATTTTCCTACTTTGTTTGTGTCTCTCCTTTACTCTTTGAATTTCCTATTTTGGTATTTCTCACTTTATTATTCCAGGCTCTGCATTGTGCAAACACAAAAATTACAAACAAAGGCCACTCAAGCGCCCAGAATAATCCTACTTTGTCTGTTCCTCTTTCTTGCTCATTAAATTTCTTATATTGCTGTTTTTTACTTTATCATTCCAAACTTTTTATTGGCGAAACACGACAATCACTCAACTCTTTTGGACATGAAATTTTGAAAAAATTGGTTCCTAAAACGTGCGCAAAGTAGTTTTTCTACAAGCGTGCGGAAAAGTGTACCTTTCCGCACGCATTTTAGGTCATGAAAATATCACTTTTCCGCACTAGTGCTTTTCCGTACTTTTCCGCACTAGTGCTTTTCCGTACTAGTGCTTTTCCGTACTTTTCCGCACGATGTGCGGAAAAGTAGAATACCTGAAATTTTTAGGTATACAGGTACTTACAGGTAAACAGGTATACTACTATACTTGATTGCTTGCTGAACTCCACTGTGCGTCGTTCGGCAAACTGCAATCGCGTGCGGAAAAGTGGTACTTTCCGCACTAGTTAGGAAATATACAGTTTTTATTTTCCTACTTCTTTGTTTGTGTCTCTCTTTTACTCTTTGAATGTCTTATATCGGTATTTCTCACTTTATTAGTCCAGGCTCTGCACTGGGCCAAAACATGAATTTTTAACAAGGCCACTCAAGCGCCGAGAATAATCCTACTTTGTTTGTTTCTCTTTCTCGCTCATTAAATTTCTTATATTTCTGTCTTATTTTATCATTTCCAACAGCAATCACTCAACCCCTTTAGACTTGAAATTTTGAAAACTGAAAAATGTTGTTCATAAAACGTGCGCAAAGTAGTTTTCCCATACTTACTTAAATCTTATTACAATTTTTTAAATTTTCCTTTCAAATACTTAAGTGTGTGTGGGAAAGTACTACTTTGCGTATGCCAAAGGAAAAAGGGTGTGTAAAGTAGCTTCTTTGCGGTTACTCATAGGAAACCTGAGTGTATTGTTTGATCATGTCACTAGAAGGCGCTAGTGTAGTTTCCTTCTACAACTATTTTCAACTCCCCAATATTTCCTCTATTTTAGTGCAAAAATTCAATTAATCAATTAATTAAATCAAAAGTATGACAATTTTTTTTTAATTATTGCAATAAAAATGTGAGAAAAATTAAAATTCTACTTTATCAAGCACCACCTGGTGACAAAAACTAGAAACTAGTTTAGTTGTATGTGCGTCCGCCATTTTATAAACAATTCCCTGTAAATGGGTCTCAGTTTTCCACTCGATTTTCCGGGAAAAAAATCGATTTCAGTGCGTGAAAACTGTTAAAATAGTTACAATGAAATATTAGCTTTGTTCGCGGGTCCGATTCCGAATCGGTTCAGAATTAATTCGGGATTGTCGTAGAGCGCACGCCTAGTTAAGAATCGGTTCAGGATTTCTTTTTACCGCGAACGATTTTGGAACCGAAAACCGAATACTTTTAAACATTACTTATGTGATTTGTGAAATTAGCTATTTGATTTTATTTATTTATTTATTTATTTATTTATTTAATATAATACACAACAGAGGAAGCTCCAAATGGTATAACTTATATACTAGGTCTATAATTATAATAATAAACACATAATAAGTTAATAAGTGAAGGGTTAAGTAAATAAATGTCCACGCCCATACATCGGAGTTGCAACCAATTAGAGAGGTAAATTTTCCAAGTGAATTGTCTGAAATCATTGAGCCAATATCGATCTCAACTTATTTTTGAAGGTGATTGGAGTGCAGTTGAAATCGACATTCATCGGAATATATGTATTGAAAAGATGCATAATACGGTTCATAGCACTGTTTTTGCCAACGTCTGTTCGGCTTCTATTAGTTAAAAATATGTCGTTTAAACGTGTATTGACAGATGGTATTCGAATGTTCATAAGTGCTAAGAGATCAGAGCAATTTATGTTATAGGTAATTATATTGAAACCGAATGTTAGTGTAAGGAAAACCCTACGTATCTCCAGGCTTTGTATATTCAGCATTTGTAGACGATCCTGGTGGGAAAATAGGTTTTTGTCGATTCCGAGTTTATATAATAGGAAATTAACAAACTTCATTTGAACTCGTTCGATGCGTTTAATATGGATTTGGTAATATGGTGACCAGATCACGCAGCAATACTCAAGGTGACTTCGCACCAACGAAAAATAGAGAGATTTTAGTACCTCGACATTAGAAAACTCCCAGCATCTTCGCATTATAAACCCTGCCATTTTGAAAGCTTTGGACAGGATATGATTTATGTGGTTGTTGAATCTTAATTGGGAATCAAAAATTACTCCCAGATCATTTATAAGGTCTACTCTGGGCGCTTTTTTCGAGAAAAAGATATTGATTTACATTTGGAGATGCTTAATTCTGTTCCATTAGATGTGCACCATTCTGATATTTTATCGATCTCGAGCTGTAGAATTGAACAATCGAGACTGCTAGTGATTTTCCTAAAGATTTTTAGATCGTCGGCGTAAAGGAGGAAATGGCAGTTGGTAAGTACGTTGGCTAGGTCATTGATGAACACAAGGAACAATATAGGACCTAGATGAGAGCCCTGGGGTACTCCGGATGTCACCATTATTTTTCTTGATATGGAACCACCAAACCTGACGAATTGTGTTCGGTTACAAAGGTAACTTGCTATCCATGTTAGAAGAGGATCTGTGACGCCAAATGATTCAAGTTTGCTGATCAAAATAAGATGGTCAACCCTGTCGAAAGCCTTTCTAAAGTCGAAATAAACTGAGTCGACCTGGTCCCCTGAGTCAATAGCTGCAGACACGTATTGAGAGTAAAGGCATAAATTTGTCTGGCATGAGCGACCGGACAGGAAGCCGTGCTGATTTTCAGAGAGGCAGTTGTATAGAGTTGACGAAAGCTCATCATTTACTATGGACTCGAAAACCTTGGCCATGCAATCCAGGCCCGAAATTGGGCGGTAGTTAGCGACGTTTCCCCTCTCACCACCTTTGAAAATAGCAGTTACGATGGCAGTCTTCCAGAGGTCCGGAAATTTTCCAGAGCTGAGAGAGAGTTGAAATAGGGTGTTAAGTGGAGATGTCAGGGTCGGACAACAATTTTTTACGAAGATTGGGGGTATGTCATCTGGTCCTGCTCCTTTTTTTTCATCCAATCCAATTAGTTTTTGGAGCACAATGTCGCAGTTAACTCTGATAGTTGAAAGGACAACATTATTAATATAAAATCGTAATGGGTTAATAGTGATTGCGGGATCAGAAACTGTGAATGTAGACTGAAAAAAATCTGCGAAAAAATCCGCGATGACTTTGGGATCACTAGAGTCAGCGTTATTGAAAGTCATTTTCGCAGGATAGCTGACAGAATTACGTTGAGACTTTATGTAAGACCAGAACGCTTTAATGTTATTCAAAATATTATTTTGAGCAGTTTGGACGAAGGAATCGTAGTCCCTCTTTATCGAGGTTTTTGATTCTGATCTCAGTTTTTTGTACTGAAGCTCGTCTAAGTTTAATTTCGTTCGTTTATGTTTTATAAAAGCTTTGTTTTTCTTGTTAATTAGAGCTATTGTTTTTTTAGAGAAATAGTTAGGGTATTTTAGGGTAGAAATTCTTGTCTTTGGAACGTACAGGTCGATTGCGATGTAAAGTACAGTATAAAACATTTCCAGGGCGTTATCAATGTCTCCGCACTGCAAAAAACTCCAATCGATAATTTCGAAGTAATCGTTTAAGTGATCGTAGTTTGCTTTATGAAAGTTGTACTTAAAAAGTTGCAAATCCGATGCATTATCCTTTGTAGCATCAATACAGAACCCAATTACTAAAGCAGGATGATGGGTATCAATACAGGTTAAAGGTGACATATTATTCGATACAGATACATTTGAGAAGTTTGAGAAAACAAGGTCCAGTTTTGCATTATTAAAGTTGGAGACATTATTGTACTGGACAAGATCGTAAAAACACGCACAGTCGTAAAGTGTTTGTTCCCGTTGATCACTGGAAGTGAAGATTTTATTGAGTTCATCGTCACCACCAGCTGAACATAGGTTAATGTCATTGTTATTAACTATGTCGGATGCACAAGTTTCAACTTTGGCAAATGAGTTTGCATAGTTCGGAAGGTTGAAATCTCCCAGTAATAAAACATTGGACCTTGAAAAACGGTCTAGCATATAACTTACTGAAGTAACGAGGTTATCATAGACTACTGCTATAAATTAAAAAAAAAAAAAATAACAGAACAGATATAATATTTATTTTTATTCAAAATTCGAAAATGCTCTATACATTGTCCATCCCTGAAATGTGGCATCACCTCCTCAAAATTACATTTCTTTAAGGAACTTAAACAAGCTCTAATTCTTCCTTGTCCGCATCGTTAGATGACAAATGGTCCGACTAGTAGGTACTTAGATGAAAAAAAGATCACTAAAATTGTGCATATAAATAAATATATTAGATTAAATAGAGATAAGTAACTTACAATACTGTACTGCAAATTCAGTAAACTATAAACTCCGTAGGAAAATACTCGCGTATAGTTTATCGTTTCAGCGTATAAACGAATAAAAAACCCAAATTCCAAATTTCAAAAACGCAAATAATACCAATAAACACCAGTCAGCTGACGAGTCTGACGAAATTACGCATGAGCAGCCGAACCGAACTTTTAGTCCTAACAAAAATCCTGGGACTGCTAGAACCGATTCCGAATCAATTAAAACCAATTCTATGTGATCCGCGAACGTAGAACTCTTACTAAAAATTCAGAATTTTATTATCCGCGAACGCCACTTTTTACACTGCGCATGCGAATAGTCCCTGAACCGATTCGGAATCGGACCCGCGAACAAAGCTATTATTTTCAATTTCGTATAGTTAGTAATCGCATACATGCTCAATTTACTTCAAAATTTGCATTTAAAAACTTTTGGTTTTCTTGGATCATGGAGGCCTGAATCATGAGCTCCTTGTGAAAAAAACGTTTGGATTTTCCAGGAAAAAGCTCCATTTTAGTACGTGAAAACTGTTGAAATAGTGAAAGTGAAACCTTAGCTTCAATTTGATGTGATTTGTTGCTGGGTAAGTGAGTTAGTTATTTTTAAATTTGCATTTGAAAAGTTTCCCTTTTCTTGACATCATGGTGGCGTCCATTTTGTATTGAAACAACTTATCAAAAATATTTATTTTTTGAATTAAAAAGGTACCCATGGAAAATCTGTTGAAGTGGAGTTCTAATTAAATTTTCTATAAAATATTCAACAATTTTCCCACAGAGAAAAACTGCCTTTGATTCTTTTTTTATTTTGTAAACATTTCTAGTAGTTAAGGTAGGTTTACAATGCTTGTAACTGTCTCAAATGGTAGAAGTAGAGTATGAGAATGAGATGAGACATTAACAACTTTCAAGCTAATTTTAGCCAATAATAGTTTAAGCTGATTTTTATGCCAATGTGAGCTTATAGCTTATCATTCAAGATATGATGAGTCGACTCTACCCTGAAGCGGAACTAAACATTATAACTGACTAGCTTAGTAATAATAATATTGTTACATTGAGAAATTTCTCTGTACTGAGTGAAGATTAAATTGGCTATAGACAAAAACAGCAAAAATACTACTTACTGAGTGTGTTGCCTGAAATCGTTGGGTTGTACTTGGGGCTGCATGTTAGGGAAATCGTAAAAACTGCCCGGAGCGGGGCCGTTTTGCCAGAACGGTGGTGCACTAAACATTTTTCTGATTCTAGTTTTAAGAAAAATAGAAATGATTCTTCAAATTCAATTTACAAGGGGATTCAAACAATAAATTCAAAATGTCATGGATAATGACAATGCAATTTTTTTTAGGTTAGGAATTGAAATTTTGGTTCATTAGGGGTTTTCATTTGGTTTGGACTAAATCTTTCAAATTCGAACAAACAACATTAGTTGTATTCCTTTCAAGAGTTTGAAACATTCGAGCTACTCGCTGCGGTGTTCAGTCGCCCCCGATTTGCAGGGAACAGATGCGTGATGCAACAAACACTTTTCGAAATGAATAGGGGCGTGAAGCCCCGGAGCTGTTCCGGAGCTCCTCATAGGTGTGAAAGGAATACAACTATTGCTCACAAGGACTGCTGGTTCTAGTTTTTTTTATTTTTTATTAACAGCAATCTGCCGAAATTGAAACAGTTAAATGGTTCGGCTTGCTCACTCCGTGCACTCCGAGTGACTCCATTCACACTCCAGCCGTTCGGGTATTGCTTTTTACCGTATTAAGGGTGACTCCATTAGCTCTGTTCACTCCACTCCAACTCCGCGCTGAATAGCCGAACCCAGCTATTTTCCCTGCGTTCGTTATTTTGGTCCGAGTTCTCCGAGCTTGATTTTACCGTTCGTTTATTTAAAAAGTGTACTCGGTGCAGTCTCATTCGCGTTCGTTTATTAATATTTCTTGCACTTTTATACAGCGCTCAACTGCTCTGATCGCTCACTGGTCACGTGATCACGACTCCGCTCAGCACGCTCTGCTCTTTGAGCAAAATACCGAACGCAAGGCAAGTATCAGTTTTAGATTCACTCCGGTTCTAAATTCTATTGGAGTACACCGTGTTTGAAAAGAAAACCCCTTTGATTGAAAACAGCTGAAATTATTTATGGAAAAATGAAAAATGAGTCACTTTTAAAAAAATAACAAATAAAACATCATCCTTTTGCTGTTTTCTAAGTATTAATATTGTTAATTATTATTCAAGAATAGTTAAATTATTATAATGTCTGCTAGCCAAGGTAAATACGAATGCTATTTTTCAACAATTTAAATTAAAATTCAACAATTAAATTATTGTCGCTGCCTTGTAGATAATCGCCCAGAACTTTATGAAGAAGTCAAGCTTTATAACAATGCCAGGGAAAGAGAGAAGTAAGTTATAAAATAATAACGGAGTGACTATTCATACACACTGGTCTGTGTACTAATAACTGCAGCACTATTTATACACACTGTGTATGTATAGCCCTCTTGCTATTCATACACACCAGTATGATTTAAATATTAAATACTTAATTTAAAGATGTCTATGAATAGCTCCGTGGCTATATTTCGTCGAAGCACTTTTTATCAATACTGACAGATCTTTTAATTGTCACAACAATGAACAATGTCACAATCGAGGCCACATTATTGTTGAAGCAGAAGTAATGTCACCATTGGTAAAATTCCCTTGTACAGAGATTATTTACCTATACCTGTGCCTATACCTACCTACCATACATCTGTCGGTAGATATATTACAAAAAGTGATTCAATTAATAGTTATTTATGTATCAAGGGAATTATGAGGGTGTTAATGCCCCAGGGCAAAGTTTGACCTAATAATCCCCGCCTAATTGCCTGGGTTGAAGTAATACTGATTCTTTTATAAAAATAAATGGCTTTCTCATTTTTATACTCTTCTAATCTTCCTTCAAATTCTTTATAAGTGCTAAATGTGCTTCCAAGACCAAACATCGAGCCAAACATTTTATTAGTAGGTATTGACAAAAAGACATCTCGGACAAAATACTTAGATATTTATCAGAACAACCTCAAACTGCTAAACTGAGCTTTGGTACATATAGGGCAATCCAACGACCTGTCAAAATGGAGACCAATGCCTTTTTATTTAAAAAAAAATGCCATTTTATTGTGATTTTTAATTTTTATAAAGTCTGTAAAGTGTTGATTTTTTGGAAAAGACATTACGTTATGTATTGTACTTAGTTGTGAGGCAGGTCTATAAACCTAGCAGTCCCAAGGTGGAAAAAAACTTCAAGAACTATATAATAATTAGGTGCTAATTAGGGCCTCTAATTAAAAATTACGTGCTCCTTCAGTTTTTGAGAAAATCAAAAAAAAAACTAAGGGACTGCTAGGTTTATAAAATATTTTTTCAAAATTTTCTTTTGTATCAGAATTTGGTGCTTTTTAGGTGCTCCCAAATAGTCCAAGAAAAAATAGAATTGATTAATTATTAACTGAGTTACAGAATTTTTTTTTAATTATTAGGGGACTGCTGGCTTTACGTCTACTTGTTGGTGTGTCAGAATGGCAAAAAAACTTCGGGATCTATATAATATTTAGGTGCTTTTTAGGTGCTAATTAGGGTCTCTAATTAAAAATTAGGTGCTCCTCTAGTTTTTGAGAAAATTAAAAAAAAACTAAGGGATTGCTAGGCTTATGATAGCTAGTAGTCGCCTATAGTAAAAAATATTTTTCCAAAATTTTCTTTTGTATCAGAATTAGGTGCTTTTTAGTTACTCCTAAATAGTCGAAGAAAAAATAGAATTGATTAATTATTAACTGAGTTACAGATATTTTTTTAATTATTAGGGGACTGCTGGCTTTACGTCTACTTGTTGGTTTGTCAGAATGGAAAAACACTTCGAGATCTATATAATAATTAGGTGCTTTCTAGGTGCTAATTAGGGCCTCTAATTAAAAATTAGATGCTCCTCTAGTTTTTGAGAGAATCAAAAAAAACTAAGGGATTGCTAGGTTTATGAAAGCTGGTAGTCCCCTATAGTAAAAAATATTTTTCCAAAATTTTCTTTTGTATCAGAATTAGGTGCTTTTTAGGTGCTCCTAAATAATCGAAGAAAAAATAGAATTGATTAATTATTAACTGAGTTACAGATTTTTTTTTTTAATTATAAGGAGACTGCTGGCTTTACCTTTACTTGTTGGTGTGTCAGAATGGCAAAAAAACTTCGGGATCTATATAATAATTAGGTGTTTATTAGGGCCTCTAATTAAAAATTAGGTGCTCCTCTAGTTTTTGAGAAAATCAAAAAAAACTAAGGGATTGTTAGGTTTATGAAAGCTGGTAGTCCCCTATTATTAGGAATAATAATAATAATAATGAGGTACTTTTTAGGTGCTAATTAGGGCCACTAATTAAAAATTAGGTGCTCCTTTAGTTTTTGAGATAATCAAAAAAAAAAAGAACAAAGGGACTGCCCGGTTAATGGAAACTAGCAGTCCCCTATTGTAAAAAATATTTTTTCAAATTTTCCTTTTATATCAGAATTAAGTACATGCTTTCTAGGTGCTTCTAAATAGTCAAAGAAAAAATTGAATCGGTTAATAATTATTAACTGAGTTAGAGATTTTTTTTATTATTAGGGGACTACTAACTTTCATAAACCTAGCAATCCCTCAAGTTTTTTTGATTCGGGATCTATTACCTAAAAAGCACCTAATTATTATATAGATCCCAAAGTTTTTTTTTCCATTCTGACACACCAACATGTAAACGTAAAGCCAGCAGTCCCCTAATAATTAAAAAAAAAGTCTGTAACTCAGTTAATAATAATTAATCAATTCTATTTTTTCTTGGACTATTTAGGAGCACCTAAAAAGCACCTAATTCTGATACAAAAAAAAATGTTGGAAAAATATTTTTTACTATAAGGGACTACTAGCTTTCATAAACCTAACAATCCCTTAATTTTTTTTGATTTTCTCAAAAACTAGACGAGCACCTTATTTTTAATTAGAGGCCCTAATTAGCACCTAAAAAGCACCTAATTATTATATAGATCCCGAAGTTTTTTTCCATTCTGACACACCAACATGTATGGTATAGTTTATAGGAAGTCAATCCGAACAGCATAAAAACTGTTTAGGCGGCATCTTTTTTATGAAATGAAGCATAGGCGTGCCACACGCCAGGAATGAAAAGATATTCTCGCAAATATCAGTAAAATTCCCGAGAATGAATCAAATCAAATCAAATCAAATCGTTTATTTCCATAGACATATAGGTACAATGTATCGGAATTGTCAAATAAATAAAATAAAGGTAAAATATCATTCACAAAAAACAAAATCAATTTACAAAAATCTAAATGAAGTTATGATTGAAAAACTCAATCAAGGAGTAGAAAGGGCACTCAGCAAGCATGGCCTTAAGAGTCCCCTTAAAAATTTGAAAGCCCGCAGTGCTCTTAATGCGTTCAGGCAGATGATTATAAATTCTCAGTGATGTAACTTCAGGACCATCCCGCACCTGAGACAACCTAGCCAAAGGAACATACAATTTATCCGCGTTACGCGTTCTGTAGTAATTAACGTCGCCAAACCTTGCACAGCCACCAGACTTCTTAAAAACTCGACAAGCACACTGCAAAATATAGATATTTATGACAGTTGGTATTTTTTCCCTTCTAAAGGTTTCACGGCATGATTCCCTGAAAGGAAGCCTGAACATGGTTCGGATAATGCGTTTTTGACATATCAAAACCCTCTCGACACCGCAGGAGTTGCCCCAAGCGGACAATCCATAGGCCAGAGTAGAATGCACCGCTGCAAAGTAGAAGGTTTTTAAAGTATAAGTATCCACAAAATCTCTGAGCTGTAGGATGGCATAGTTGCTACGTGACAATTTAGTGCATACTGACTCAACTTGATCATCCCAAGACAAATGTCTGTCGATCACAATCCCCAAAAACCTGGAGGAGTCCTGCTGAGCCAGGCCAGTCGATCCCTCCCTGAGGAGTAGGCTTCTATCTTCGACCACTCGTATCGGAGTAAAAACCATGAAATTGGTCTTTAAGCCATTCAAACAAAGTCCATTTCTCTGGCACCAGCCCGCAATCTCAGCTACACATTTGCTGCCCTTCCAGTGCAGTGATTCATAGTCACGCCCAGTGACGAGTGCTGACGTATCATCAGCAAAAAGTGTGATAAAGCTGTCATCAACCAAAAGAGGCAAGTCATTAATAAATAATAAAAATAGGATTGGTCCAAGGACACTCCCCTGAGGAACCCCAGTTTCAACGGCTGCCCAATCGGAGATTGCTACTCGACCCTCAACATTCATCCTCACAGCCTGGGTTCTACCTGACAAATATGATACCAGCCACCCGTAAGCTGCGCCTCTTATTCCATAGTGAAAGATTTTATTTAGAAGTATGCTGTGGTTGATGGTATCGAAAGCCTTAGTGAAATCGAAGAAAATACCCACTGATTTCAGCTTTGCATCGAAACCATCCAAAATTGTAGTATACAGGGAGACTATGGCATCCGTTGTAGAGAGCCCAGCTCTGAATCCAAATTGACGGCATGACAGAATGCCAAAAGCGTCCAAAAAAGCGACAAGTCTTCTCCCGAAGGACCTCTCAAAAATCTTAGAGAATACAGACAGCAGCGCAATGGGCCTATAGTTCTCAAGCAGCGATGTCTGACCCTTTTTGTGAAGTGGTATCACAATGGCTGCCTTAAGCTCTTTAGGAAAATATCCAAACTGAAAGGACACGTTCAGAAGATAGGTCAGTACAGGGAGAACACACAATAAATTACAAGGAATCTCATCAGCGCCACATGACCTTTTTTCTGAGACAGATTTAATAATCTCATGAGTTTCACTTTCAGTGAGAGGAGACAAGAAAATAGATTGAGATATTCCACTGCACGGCATATTAATGGTTGTAGGTGCCTGAAAATTGTCCAGGAGTTTAGCTACTGATCCGACAAAAAAGTCATTGAAGGTGTTAGCAATGTTCAGACTTCCGGTAACATCCCTGCCGTTTGCTGTAATCTTATCAGGAACAGACTTCGACTTGCAGTTTGAAAAGCCTGTAGTCGAATTAATGATATTCCAAGCGGTTCGCGTAACATTCCTAGAGGTTAATATTTTTTGAGAATTAATAGTTCGCTTAGCAGTGGCTATATTTTTTCTATGATCCCTTAATCTGGCTCTATATGACAAATGCAATTCGGGGTTGTCTAGACATTTTAGTTGGATATGAAGATGTCTCAACTGTTTACCTTCATTGATAATTGAGGGCGTTATCCACGAATTAGACACCCTTTTATTGGGCTTACGTTTAGTTACGCATGGAAAGCATATGTCAAACAGACTGCGAAAAGTGTCGAATAATAAACTAATTCTAATTTCTTCTACGTCCATGAGCAAGCTACCCCAATAATAATTTATCTCACAATGCAAAGGCGTCTGTCTACAGTCACCTATAATGCACCAGACATTTTTAGACAATAATTTATTTTTGCGTGCGCCAAATATTATTTGACCAACTGGAAGCGGCCGTCTAGGAATGTGTAGTCATAGTCATAGTTAATCATACTTTATTATCCAAGAAAAAATATTCTATTGACAAAGAATTAACTTAAAAGTAAAACAGACAAAAATAAAAATAAATCACCAATAGTATAACAATGCAAATAAAAACAAGTTGAAAAAAAAATTGACAAATAGCAATGGCAATCCAAGCAATATTACATATACTTAAAACTATACTAAAATGATAAAATATAAATAAAAGACAAAAGTACTCAAAAATAAAAAAGGTTGTATAGTCATACAGTGTCACTATAGTAAAAGATCCTCAACACTCCTACGAAATAGTTTGTAGTTTCTGATCATTTAAAGTTCATTACTTAGATGGTTGAACATTTTTTTGCCCTCATAGAATATTGAGTGTTTTGCTAAAGCAGACTTTGGTATAGGTAAGCCTTTATTAGTGTTCAAACTTACTCTAGTGTTGTACCCAATATCCCGCGTTTCCAAACCCAAATATTTTTTGTGCACAAGACACACAGTTTCCAAAACGAATAAACATGGTACAGTTAAAAAAAAATCCCTAATAATTAGTGGTTGACAATGTTCACGACCTGCAACTTTACACAAATAACAAATTGCCCTCTTTTGTAAAACAAATATCGAATTAAACTGTTGGCTGTTAGTAAATCCCCAAAAAGCTATACCATATCTCACAAGAGATTCAAATAGTGAGTGATAAATCCATTTTTGTGGTAGAACAACTAAGCTCGTTGGAAACTATTCTCATTGCAAAGCAACCAGCAGACAACCTTTTACTTAGTGCCATTATATGGTCCTCAAATTTAAGTTTATTGTCTATGATGAGTGCTAAAAAGTTTGTAAGGGGTTTACTTTCTACAATTTCATCATTTAAATACAAATCATTCTAGCAAAACCCAATGGTGATTATGCTGGTTTTATTAACATTAAAGCAAAGCAAATTTGCATCACACCAAAGCCTAACTTCACGCAGGTCCCTAACATTTGTTAATTTGAGTTCATCTCTGTTTTTACCATGCCAAAGAAGACTAGTATCATCCGCAAAAAATGTAAACGAAGCCTGAATCTTTAAAGCTGCATAAAATGGGTCCGAGAACAGAGCCTTGTGGAACACCTTTTGTAGTAAATGATCTATCAGAGTATTCGCCATCCGCTGTCACCACTTGCATTCTTCCCCTAAGATAGGCAGAAAATCATTTCATTGTAAGCTTCCCAAACCCATAGTGCCTCAACTTGCGCAGCAACACTCCATGATCCACACAATCGAATGCTTTCGAAAAATCACAGAATATTGCTGCAACAGCATCGCCACAATTTATATTTTGATAAACCTGATGGAGCAAGGAGAAAATGGGATCATCTGTATTTTTACCCGAGCGAAAACGAAATTGGACAGGATTTAATATTTTGTTATTTTCCAAAAAGATCATAAATCTCTTCTCCACTATTTTCTCAATGACCTTCGAAAGCGTAGATAAAAGGGAAATAGGACGAATTACCCCCCTTAAACAACGGAACTACAACAGCATTTTTTAAACATGTTGGAAATTCGCCCACCGCAAATGACTGATTAATGGAACATGCAAGTGCATGCAATGCAGACTCAGGCAAGCTCTCCAATATTCTCACTGAGATTCCATCGTAACCTGCCGAATTTTTGTTTAATATTTCTTTAAAAATCATCCTTACTTCTTCTACATTTGTGCTTTCTAAAATAAAAATTTCAGGAACATAGATATCGACCAAATAATCTATGGGATCTTTCTTGGAATTTAAATTTGAAATTAATTGGTCGCCTATTGTGCAGTAAAAATTATTAAGAACGCTTAGATCAATTTCAATATTATTTTGCAATTAATTGGCTTTACCCCTCAATTGATTAACTATTTCCCAGTTCTTTTTTGTTTTGTTCTTTGCACCTTCAATCCTCCATTTATAGTAAAGCTCTTTTGCCACCCTAATTACTTTCCTATAAATTCGTCTATAATGATTAAAATATGCGATAAAAAACTGATTGTTACTGTGGTACTTTCTTATAGAATGCAAGGATCTTAAATTTTTTGCTAAGGTCTTTATACCACAGGTAATCCAAGGTTTTTTTATCTTTAACCTTAAGATATTGTAGAGGAAAAGCCCTGTTAAAAGCGCCTGTCAATAAAGCATGAAACTGTTCCACTGGATTCTCCGCACTCAGAACACCATTCCACAATATCCTGCTACAATATACTTTAAATTTATTATAGTTTTTTTTACGGAAAATTCTTCCCCGTCTAGTTTTTCTAAATTTTGCACCAGAATCTGCAGAACAAGTAAGCAAAACAGCGTTATGATCAGACAATCCAGAAGCAATAGTGCTGCAGCCTAAGATCTTGCTGTCTTCAATGTTTGAGCGAAAATAGTCTATCATAGTGGCAGACAACTGCGTACCTAATCCGAGTGGGTGAACAGACATGCATTTTTAGGTTTAGCGACCTCAAAAGGCAATTAAGCGACTGTGTGGCCAAAGATCCCACATCAGGAAAGTTTATGTTAAGATCACCCGCTAGAATAATGTTGAAACGAACAGGCAATCCAGTCAAAAGCATTTCAAGACGATCAATAAATACATTGAGATCACAGCTTGAAGGTCTATAGATACACACTACATATAGATTAAAATACTTAACTAAAATTATTGAGAATTCAAACTCCCTTTCGACAGTCAAACTCAAACTATTAAACCTACCCACATTCACAATTAAAAATTTATCACAGACTCTTTTGTGTACAAGAATTATAGTTCCCCCATGTAAAATTTGTTTTCCGCAATAGATTGATGCTATATTGTAGTCAGGAATATAACATGGTTCATTCTCTTTCAGCCAGTGTTCTGTCAACAAGACAAAATTAGGTCTATTACACAACTCCAGAAGCACACTCAGTTCATCTTTTTTATTTCTTACAGATTGAATATTTAACAAAAACAAAGTAAAGTTATTATTATTTATATACCTATTTGTGTATAAAAAACATTTAAATTGATTTAGGGTTCACTCAAGATTTTAGGCAAGATAATATTCATACGGGGACTATTTAATTTATAATTTGGTTATTTTTGTTGGAATATATAGGTAAATTGAGCTGATTCGGTATGTGACTCTTTTTTTTAGGTGTTCGGATTGATTTCGTATAAACTATACTTTGGGATCCCCCAAACTCCATACACTAAATTATTCTGAGATTTGGAGCCAAATACTATGAAAAAAGGCACTCAGAAAAATTGAAAAATTGATAAATCACCCCAAACTGCTTATCACGATTTTATTTCTGGAACTATAATTCCAAATGAGCTGAAATTGCCAGGAATTGTAGTGCTCTACTGGAATAAGAACCGCTGAAAATTTCAGCTTTCAATCTTTGATAGAAAAAAAGTTATGACCTTCCAAAATCTCATCATAAGGTAGCCTTCTTACAAAAACGATGAAATTTCAATTGTTTTTTTCTTGAGATTTTGTGTCCTAATGGTCCTTTGGGATACCCCAAACTCTATACACTAAATTATTCTGGGATTTGAAGCCAGATTCTATGAAAAAAGACACTCAGAAAAATTGAAACATTGATAAATCACTCCAAATTGCTTAACACGATTTTATCTCAGAAACTATAAGACCAAATGGGCCGAAATTCCATACACTAAATTTTCCTGGGATTTGGAGATAGATTTTATGAAAAAAGCTCGGAAAAAAGGCACTCAGAAAAATCGAAAAATTGATAAATCACCCCAAATTGCTTAACACGATTTTATTTCTGGAACTATAAGTCCAAATGAGCTGAAATTTTCAGGAATTGTAGTTTTCCAAAATCTAAAACGATGAAATTTCAAAAATTTTTTTGTTGAGATTTTGTGTTCTAATAGTCCTTTGGGATCCCCAAACGCCATACACTAAATTATTTTAGGATTTGAAGCCGGAATTTATGAAAAAAGGCCCCACAAATAATAATTTCTTAACAATTCCTCACTTACATAGGTACCACAAAATTCCTTTCCAATAAAATGGAATCTCCTCGGGAACCTCCTTTTATTGAAACTTTTGTTAGTCATCACAATTTGAAAACTTCCAAAACAAATCCGCTATTCTAAACAATCCATCTTCCATTTAAGGTACGATAACTTGGCAGATCTCTATGCAGTTATCAACACCTTGCAACAATTGGAAAAGGCCTACATCAGAGACTGCGTCACTCCAAAGGAGTACACAGGGGCTTGCAGTAAATTGCTGGTGCAATACAAAGCTGCATTCAGGCAAGTGGAAGGGAACGAGTTTCCCACCATAGATGCTTTTGTCAAAAAATACAGGGTAATAATAATTAAAACAATAAAAAAATAAGTATTGAAATACATTTTTAATAGCTGGATTGTCCTGCTGCACTGGAAAGAATCAAAGAAGACAGGCCTATAACCATCAAAGATGACAAAGGCAACACTAGCAAATGTATAGCCGATATTGTGTCCCTTTTCATTACTATAATGGACAAATTGAGGTTGGACATTAGAGCTATGGACGATTTGCATCCGGAAATTCGAGATTTGGTCGATACAATGAACAGGCTGAGCATACTTCCTTCAGACTTTGAAGGCAAGCAAAAAGTCAACGAATGGTTGAGTACTTTGAATTCAATGCAAGCCTCTGATGAACTATCAGAAAGTCAAGTGCGACAATTATTGTTTGATTTGGAAAGTTCTTATGCCGCTTTTAATAAGGTTTTGCATAATGCTGCTTAAATTATTTAGTTTTATATTTATGCTTGTTAGGATAATTTTAGAGCATGTTATATTTTATGTTAAAGAATAAATGAATATAGGCTATTTTTTACATTATTCAAAAGTCGTTTATTATTACAATTAAGTACGAGTACACTGAAATATTTACAATAAATTATTGATATTTTAATGAATACGTTTTGTATTTATGTAAAATATCTGGGACCTTTGGTCAGGCAATACAATTTTTCGAACATGCAGGAGAAGATATTCAGCTTATTCTCCGTGCATGTAAGAGATACTTAAAACTATCCTTAATTACTAAAGTTTGCAATAAATTGGCCTTTTGAGTATCTATTTAATACCCTGAACTATTAAACATTGCACATAAATTTTAGCTTTCCAACTCATTGACCTAATTTCAATTGTAGAACTAAAATACTAGCGAAATTAGGCGTACATCTAAACACAATGGTCAAAATAAGTCTTGTTCATTTAAAACTGCTTCTATGATTCATGTACCCGCTAAACTGCGATGATAATTTTTCAATGTTAGTTTTTCTCATTTTGGTACAAGTGGCTAGAAGGGCTCCTGTGAGAAGGCAAAGGGCACCGCATCCTAGGGCTAGAAGTGTTGCAAACCAGCCTGTTTTCAGACATACACTGTTGGGGTCTGATGTTAATGATTCTATATTAGGAAAATAATTATTTATTGAAATAATATATTGATGTAATTTACCTTTGTAAGTAATATTTGTCTCTTGATCACTTTCTCCTTCTTGCAGCACTCTCAAAGATTGATAAAGATTGACATTTTCTGATAAGGGCACTGGTGTTGGGGTCGCTGTACTGTTACTTCCTTCAATAGACCTTTTTCTTACATTTTTAACATTTCTCCAGTGACAGGGTTGACTCTACAACAAATAGACAATTTCCGCAAACTAAAATTAAGCAACCGTGAAGATGTTTGAAGCAGGAAGAGTGTTCTTTTAAGTAAACAGGAAATGGCTAAGTACGTACTGGGCATCTTCCATGACACATTCTAACATCGCATTCAATATAGAGTGCAGGCGAACCGGTGAATCTGAATGTCTTCATATAAGCGAAGACTTGCGTTTCAAATACGCCAGATTCCGACCAGGAACCGCGAAATCTCGAAATTAATTTGTCGTCCACTGGACAGCCGTATTCGTCTATTAGTTGGATTTTTTTGGTTGCCCCGTTGTGTGCGTAACAATCGTTTACCACTATATCGAATCCATCTGAAATTTTTAATAATAATGCTATTATGTGTCGCATTTTACCATAAATGAATAATTATTACCGTATTTACTCCTCATATAAATAATGAGAGTTAATGGGTCTCCGACTCTTACAGGTCCTGTAACTCTATTTCCTGCTGTTCCATATCCATAGCGGATTTCCATGTAGCATTCTGGCGGTGTCAATGTGAAAACTACTGGATTTCCTGTTGCAACTCTAAAAATGCATTTATTATTAATAAAGCCTTATTGCATAATATAGAATTATTGTACTTACTCAACATCCAAAAAAGGAAAAGTAACAGTTTTCCAAAAATCGTATCCATATTCGCAAGTAACTTTAAAATGCTCATCATATTCCTCTTCAATCAAAGGATTGTATTGAACAGTGACTGTGTTCCACATAAAATTTTTCTGCAAAACAATTAATCATTCTCGTACTGTTATCACAATACTCCATTATACTATTAATCTCTAGGCGAAATTAGAAAGGATATTATATTAGATTGATGCACTCACAGTTGGCGATTTTCTGTTATCCTCATTATGGGTATTTTTGCCGAGAGTTCCGCATCTGTTTAGTTGGATGTAGAATTCGTAATAATCTCGCCCAGTTCCGTTGATATACATACAGTCTGGGTCGTAAGCGTAACCTGAAAATAAAATATGCTTGCAATTTTGTTTTTTTTTTTTGTAATAGTTTCATTGTGCGTCAGTTGAGAGATAAAAGTGGGTCTTGAATATTAAATAAAGCAATAAATATTATGTTATTGCTATGAGCTTCCTGAAAGAAGATGAAAAATCTACATAGTTTATAGTAATTACTGAATTGAAAAGATTCTTGCCATATTGTAGGAATTTTAGTTGTTTTAAATAAAATCTCATAAAATTATTCATATTTTGATTCCTTTGGACCTGCTACAGTCTCTTGCGAAGCTCAATAAAACATCATAATTTTGCTAGAAACTCATTAATCCTGGAGAGTTTCAAATGTATTCTGGATCTGGATAGTTGCAAAGGAGGGTAAGTTACCTCCCTGACACTAGGGTCACTAGGCGTCACCTTAGGGCCCTTTGTGCCACCTCCATTATTAAGACGCATCTCTTCCCCAAGGGTCTCCCGCAGACATCGCACCCGTTGGATGAATTGCAGGAGAGTTCCAGGTGAGGTACGACTCAACCTGGTTATATCAGGCCAGATGTCCCCCAGTATGGCTTGCCGCGTTGTTGATTTCCTGATAGATGGCTATCTTGGCTCTCTGGTTTACCTCCATCTATTCCGCCTGACGGTGGTGTGGTCATCAAGGGAGGTACTTATGCGGAGGTTTAGTTCAGGTGAGAAAACACCCGCTACTGTTCCTCTACTGGTTTTCGATCCGTCCGTATATATTGAGACCGTTGGGGTAGCCTGCGCCTCACCCAACTTATAGACACTGTAGGATCTTTTTGTTATCTGTATGGGCATCGCGCGATCCACTGCCGCTCTCAGTAGGTGGTGCATTTCTGCACCCTTCCGCTAGTATGCGGCAGTGTCACCCCCACCCAGCTTCCGTGCTGCCACAAGCCCAAGGGGTTTAATCTGCAGGCGGTTAAAAGGGTCATCTCCTCTACATACAAGTGCAGAGGTGGCAGACCCAAAACCGCTTCCATTGCCCTCGTCGGGGTGGTTCTCATAGCGCTCGTGATCCCGATACACGCAAGTCGTTGCGTTTTATCGAGTAGGGCTCTCTTTTTTACTTGTCTGGTTCTGGGCCACCAGACAAGAGCTGCATAGCAAACCATCGGTCTTATAATAGCGGTGTATATCCACAGGGTGATTTTGGGTGTGAGGCCCCATGACCTGCCCATCGTCCTGCGGCACTGCCACATGGCCATGGCCATGATCACTTTTCCCGTTTTTACCTAAATGTGTCTTTTCCAGCTGAGCTTTTGATCAAGGTACTTGACCTCTGGGGTTAGCTGGCCTGGGTATTTGCATACTACTTAGCTTTCTTTTCACTTGGATTCACTGTCAGGGAGTGCTCCTCACTAGTCCTCACACCAAGATGAAATTTAGTTAAGAGCCGTTCGCATGAGATCGCATAGAACGCTCTCAACCTTGCCTGTAGGCAGAATGCACAATTCATCTGCGTAACCTATAGTAGGGAATCCCGCATCATTTAAGCTGTCTATTACAAGGTCCCAGAGGATCGGTGATAACATACCACCTTGTGGGCAGCCTCTCTTAACCAGATTATTGATGGTGGTGTCCCCTGTATCAACTTTCACGACCCACCAGCTTAGCATCCTCTCTATCCATCTGGTGATGGTAGGTGGAGCCCCATGTCTAGGTAGGCCTTGTTTGATATTATCGAAGGTCGTTTTGTCGAACGCTCCTTCCATATCAATAAACGCTGCCGGGGTAGGAATAAAGATTTAGTCTATTGAACGTATAAAGTGAATATCTATTAAATTAAACATTAGACTAAAATCCGGATAAAAAAGGAATACCACAAAGAGCTATATTACTAATATTAAAACATGGTGTCAGCATTGTGAAAAAGGCGGTAAGAAAATAAAAGTTTTGGAAGAAAGTTTGAGATAGAATGAAAGCTTCTGTAGAAAAAGGTTGGAAAAAAAAATTACACCCAGGCCCGTCAAGAGTGGGGGAGGTAGACGGGACAAATTCCTGGGGCCCCGTAAGACCTGGGAGGCCCGGATTATAAGTTTAAAATTTGCTTTACAAGTGTCATATTCGAAAGGATGAATATCCGAGTGTGTTAATATGTGATTCTTCAAAACGCCTTTTCGCTTGAATTTCGCTTTACAAGTGTCACATTCAAAAGGATAAATATCCAAATGTGTCGAAATGTGATCCTTTAAATTGGTTTTTCGTTTAAATTTGGCTTTGCAATTATCACATGCAAACCAAGTGTGTTAAAATATGTGATCCTTTAGATTGCCTTTTCGTTTGAATTTCGCTTTGCAAGTATCACATTCGAAAAGACAAATATCCGAATGTGTAATTGAATGATATTTCAAGCTTGCCCTGATTACACCACCCAAATATGGTAGCAATTTTTAAAGCACTAAAAAGCATAGCTTTTGATCAGCATGTAGCTAGAACAGAAAACTTAACACTCGAATTAGCAGAGGCTCAGTGTAAGATGTCAGAAGCAAGTAAACACCAAATGAAAGGCTTAAGAAATACTGAACAGTATGAGGTTTAACAATAAAGGTAATGGTAGTTCTACACAAGAAAAGGAATATAATTCCTTTAAATGCAATACAAAACATGGACCAAAAAGTTGCAAAGCGTATGGTAGACATGCTCAAAATGTGGCAAAATGAACCATTTTGCTGTTGATTGTAAAATCAAAGACAGCAAGTTAGGTAGGAACTTTAGAGATAAGAATTTTACAAAGAAAAAGCGTAGATATGTATATGAGGTTGAAAGTAGTAGGTAGCGAAAGTAGTTCTGAGAAGAGTGAAGCTTCATCTGGTCCATATATAGAATTGATTCAATAATAGTGTTAGATAATATAAATTATACCTATTATAAGCAAAATAAGGAAATTTAAGCTGGATTTATACAGCAAATAAAATAAAATAAGATAAAATAACAAATACTTACATAGCTAAATGTATTTCTTATTTTGGTATTTTCTGTATAAACACTTTAAGGGTATCTAATGAGGTTAACTGTTACTTCTTACTTGTTATTTTATCTTATTTTATTTGCTTTATAAATCCAGCTTTAGACATCAGACTTGATAATTATTAATAATGAATTTGTTACTTTCAAGCTTGATACAGGCGCAAATTGCAATTGCATACCTGAACAAACTTTAGGAAAATTAAAACTTGAGAATAAAATTATCCAAAATAATTTGTCGCTGAATACCTATGGTGACAATAAAATAAAAGCTATTGGCTATGTTATCTTGAGATGTTTATTTAGAAATAAGAAACAACATAAAATTTGTAGTTGTAGTCGTTGTAGAGTGTGACAGTATGTCCATTTTAGGATTAAATACTTGCACTAAGTTAGGATTATTAAAAAGAGTAGATTCTGTTAAAGTTCTGGATGAGGAACAAAAAAATTTTTGATTAAGAATGCCAAAGTATTTGAGGACACATATAAAGTTCCCTATAAATATAAGATTGTTCTAGCATTCAATGCACAACCTGTAAGTAGCGCTTGTAGAAGATTGCCAGAGGTAATACGATCGAGGCTGAAGGCTTTGCTAGATGACTTGGAAAGTAGAAAAATAATTTCTAAAATGGATGAACCTACCGAATGGGTCAATAACATAGTTATTGTGGAGAAGCCTTCAGGTGCCTTGATTCAATTCATTTGAATAAGTATGTATGTTTTGATCAATATCCGATACCAACAGTTGAGGAATTGACACTAAAGTTAAAAGACAAAAAGATTTTTACAGTTGTAGACCTTAAGGAAGGATTTTTTCATGTTCCCCTTGATGCTGCAAGTAGAAAATTATGTACATTCATAACACCTTTTGGCAAATATTCTTTCAATCGACTCCCATTTGGGCTAGGTGTGAGTCCTGAAGTTTTCCAAAAAATAAATGACAAAATATTTGGAGATTTGCCTATCGGGATATATTTTCATGATTTTATAATAGGTGGAATAAATGAGGAAGAACATGATAGGATTCTTGCGGAGATGATTAAACGGGCAGATAAGTATGGAGTAAAATTCAAAGTTTCACAGGTTTGCTATATAGGTCAGATTTTCTCAGTGTACGACCTGATCCTGAGTATGTAAAGGCTTGGTTTAGATATTCGCATCCTTGGTTTAGAAGTAGTGTATGAAAATAGTGAGGTTTAGGACAAAAAATCAAACTCCTGGATTAAAAATTCGCCGACGTTTCGGCCTCATATTAGGCCTTCTTCAGGGCTCTTCTTGAAATTAGGAGTTTTCGAAAACCCTTAACTCTAAAAACTCCAAATTGTACCATAATCATTTGTGACATGATTGAAACAAAACAATACAGACTTAGATTGCGGGAAGAGATTTCGACGACACACTAGCAACCAAATTCAACTTAATATCCTCACTCATATCAAATGTAGTATGGTTTTTTGTCCTAAACCTCACTATTTTCATCCACTATATGTAAAGGCTGTTCTAGCACTAGAAGAACCTAAAAATAAAAAAGAGCTGTTGTGGATACTAGGTATAGTTAACTATCTTTCTAAATATTTGCCTAGATTGTCTGTGTTGTTGTCTCCATTAAGAAACCTGATAAAAAAATGATGCTGAGTGGTCATGGACTAAAGATCATGCTTTTGTTTTTTCCAAAGTTAAAACTATAATAACTGAAATTCCTAATTTAAAAATATTTGATTCGAAATTGCCAGTAGAAATTCAGACAGATGCCAGTCAAAATGGTATTGGGGGGTGTTTTTTACAAGAAGGCTGTGGCATTTTGTTCACGTAGGCTGACTGAAACCGAACGTAAGTGGGCTCAAATAGAAAAGGAGTATTTGGCTATCTCTTTTAGTTTGCAAAAATTTCACCACTTCATTTATGGTCGTAAGATATAAGTAAAAAGTGATCATAAACCTTTGGTTTCTATTAATAAAAAAGATATTTGCAAAATTAGTTCCCGCTTACAAAGGTTGAAGTTGAAAATGTTAAAATATAA